TTTACCAGTACAAGGATGTAACAAATATTTATTTGTTTCTCCAGTACATGTCACATTAAATTTTTTTCCACAAATGGCACCACCATCCCATAAAGATTTAGAACCAACTTTTGCTACCATGTCACCTTGTGGTTTGGTTCCATAACATTTTGACGCTGTCAGTATAGACAAGTTAAATTAATAAGAAAAAAAAGTTAGAGTTAGATTTATCGTAAATATACGAAACTAATATAAATTGAGATTTCAAATTATGTAAGAATGTTTTTGGTTAAATCAAGAATTAATAGGAGACAACTTTTGTCGTTAAACAATAAAATGTTGTTCAATAACAAACTAGCAATGGATTATCAAAAGGCTCATGTTTAGCGATGAATTTCGTAAATAATTCCTTTTTTTTTTTTGTTAAAAAAATGTGTAATGAAATTTAAATAGAGGAACAATTTGAAAGAGAGAGAAAATACTTACGAGCATAGCTACTATTATAAAATGATGCAATTCCTGGTTTAGCCAAAACTATAGAGAAAGTAGCCAAAAAACCAATAATAACAAGAAAAATATTTTTAGGAATTGCCATTTCTTTTCTAAATCTTTTATTTTATTTCACTAATATATCTATCTATCCCAATAATCAACAACCTTTTTATAGTTTTTATCATCGGCTAAAATATGTAAGTTGTTAAAAAAATAAAATCAATTCATTTATTATTATTGATTCATAGAGTAAGTAGTTAATAAAAAATATATTTTGACGATATCCAGGAAATTAATATAATTTATTAAGGTAGGTTAATTAATTATTACATATCAATTCATGTGATATGATAAGGATATTTCCTGTTTATAATTTGTTAATTTAAATTTTAATATTTAACATAAATTTTCACATGACAATATTATATGTTGTTACTATACATTTATTTGGGTACAACCATACAAGAAAATAATATTGGATATGAAGTTTATATGAAACTAGATAACTTTTAACATAATGAAAAGGCTGATACGTCATACTTTTTTGGCCAGAATCTCTTATTATCTTTTTTCTCAATTTTTTGGAATTCATTTCTTATTGTAGGCTTTAAAATATTACATTACATTAATAATGATCTATTTATATAATTCCTCACTATTACTATTGATATCTCTTATCCTAATTTTTTTTTACTTTCCTTGTATTGCTTAAGTTTCTGTTAAAATATGTAGCATAGTAAATAGTAATTATAAAAAATTAATGGTGATCTATTTATATTATTCCTCACTATTAAGTACTATTTATCACTTCTCCTAAAATTCTTTTACTTTCTTTTTTCCTTAGTTACGTTTCTGAAAGGAAATGTAGAAATTAATATAGTAATTATGGGATTTAAAAGGTAAGTTTCATTGCAAATCAATACTCTTTTCGTCCTATATTAGATGGACATTTTTTTTATTTTACAGAATAATTAAAAAATTATTAATAAATTAATTAATTTTACAATTTTACCCTTTATTCATATTAATTACTCAAAATTAAATTTGAAGTTAAATTAATACATATAGTTAATACCATTTTATTTGGAATTAAAGTGTACATGAGAACAATTGATGTATGGAACAGAAACACTACAACATTTTAGGGCTACGGCCACCCTAGAAAAGTGTTGTCTAAACTAGCAAAAAGTGTTCCCTTTGATAAAAGGCTACACTTTTTGACTTTTGGCAACACTTTTTTGGGGGTAGCCTAAAGAGGTGTAACCTTTGACTTTAGACAACACTTTTCGTATTAGCTACGCTTAAAAGCGTAGCCTAAAAGGCAAAAAGGCCACGCTTTGCAGCTACGCTTAAAAGTGTTGCCTTGTTAGCTACACGTTCAAGCGTAGCCTAAAAGGCAAAAAGGCCACGCTTTGCAGCTACACTTAAAAGTGTTGGCTTATCAGCTACACTTTCAAGCGTGGCCTTTTCTTCCATATTGCCCACGATTTTAAAGTGTTGCCTTTTCTATCTTATGTATGACAACACTTTGAAGTGTAGTCCTTGCCTATGTGCATACACAATTTACATTCCTATGGCTACACTTTTAAGTGTGGCAATATTATTTTGGCTATAAAAGATTTATATGCCACAATTTCTAATTAAAAAACACCAATATTGTTTTGCAATAAATAAACTCAAGCGTCAAATTAGCTAATAAGTAATTCAAATATTTAGATTTGCAATAAACTTCAAAAGATAGTATGTCTTGTGTACATACACATACTTATAAAACAATATTCTAAATATGTGTACACAATAATTGTTCAAAAAGTACTCTTACAATAGTTCAATATATTCTAGCAATGAATATATTTCACAAAATCAAATATAACGTATTCAAACTTTTACAATAGTTCAAAAACTCTTCATCATCCACTTCAATGAGATCAAATTGACTTGTGGCGACCCTTCAAATTTGATCACCTTCATTTCCCTACACATTTAAAATAAAATTAAAAGTTAAAACCAATTATGAACAAAAAATCAGATTGCAGAATAGGAGCATGTGGAGCCTGATCATAGACATATTTTCGGATGAATCTACAAAATTGGACAGCAAAGTGATCCGTGGAGCTGATGAAGATAATCACAAGGATAGTGGCAACAAGTCTTGTGCAGCAAAAAGTTCTGATTCATTTTTGAGTTATTCCGAAAGAGAGTCAATGACTACAAAACAGGATGCAAATAACCAAGAGATTGAAGCGCTAAGCTTTTAGCAGTTAAGCTAGTACAAGAAGCAATCGAGAGAATCTTCTTCCAGAAGTTCAAGATCACTCATATAATCAATTAGCAACAAGTAGTGAATGTAAGTCATGAACAATTCTACAAACGAACAGATAACAAAGCAGAAAATGAAGACTAAACTCCTCTCCTTATGTATTAAATTTTCTGCAAACGAACAGATAACAGAAGCAGAAGCAGAAGATGAAGACGAAAATCCTCTCCTTATGTATTAAATTTTCTGCAAACGAACAGATAACAGAAGCAGAAGCAAAAGATGAAGACGAAACATACCGAAAACAGGTGAAAAAACAGAAGCACATCAGCATGTGGCATTTGATATCACAGCACATTCTTTCAGATGTTGTATCAAAAATAGGGAATGAACAACTCGATGAGATAAATAACAACAAAACACTAGCTGAAACGAATACAGACAACTCTCCTTAAGATTTCTCAGAAGAAAAGGATGATATATATAAGCCACAATGGGAGAAGTTTCAGCATAAATGATGCTGTCAATCTCATAAGAGAAGCAGTTAGTCAGATCCTAACAACACCGACTCGAGATGATTCATCCAATACACAGAGTGTCACTAATGACATTGTTCAAGATGAAGAGCCACCAAAAACTGATCATATAGATGGCAGAGAGCAAAACAGTACAAATTCACTCTACGAAAGCTTGAGACATCGTGACAGTCAATTAGAAACAATGGATTTTGTTGCTAATTAATAATACTATCACCAAGAGTAAATTTGAGCCACCAAAGTCTAAGAACTGGAGCAAGCTGAAGAAATGGATCCTCCTTAAGAGATCAATAAAGGTATTGGAAAGAGCTCGAATAGTCAATCCACAACCCTTCAACTTTTTCCCCTGAACCAGCTCCCTATACTATTATCCAATCGTTTGTTGTTCGACTAAGACAAAAATCAGGCTAAAAATGATATACCTATTGGCCTTGAGACTCCTATTATCACTATCAAGCAAGGACTGCCGGCTAGAGCCACAACTACACACAAATCAACAACCAATGGGAAGAAGAACTACAGGCAGAACCACCATAAATTCCAGATCAATCATGCCAAAACTAGAGCTACTTTGAAAGATTCAAACATGAAGTTAAAAAACTTGCAAATTAACTGCCTTAATAAGCCAACTACCACAAAGAAGTCTTTCAGAGAAACTGAGAGGACTAATTAGCCAACTATCACATAGGATATAGTTCTTTAGTATACTAATTTTCAAACTTATTGCTCTAAAAAAGAACATTTGAAAAAATACAAAATACCTTTTGAAGATCTGGATCATGAGTTGACCCGGAAGAATGTGGAAGATTTTGGCCTTTTACAGCTTGTGCACTACTCGCATCAATAGGTGAAGCAATGTTAGATCGAACACACCCTGGCATATCTCGAACATTCAATCCAGGGTTGTTTTGAAGCAATTGGCTAAAGAAATGTCGCATTTCTTCTCTCATTTCATTCATTTCTTCTTTTAGAGAAGTGATTTCATTGGCATGTTTCTATTTTAGCTCGTTAGTTTCCTCATCTTTCTTTAAAGAACTTGTTGTCACTGATCTACCATAGCACCTAATTCGACCAGGCTGCTCCTTTCCAAACACTGCCGTAAAAGCATCATCTGCTGTTTCCCCGAAATTTTGGCGATTCTGAAGTTCAGCCTATTGAATAAAATTGACATCCATATTAAATGTAAGTACTTCTTTCTTTCCAGCGACTCAAGCATATTAAAATAAAAATATCACCCTCCTAGCAATATATAACTTTTAAACCTGAATTAAATTCATCACTAATCCACTTTAAAAAACTTAATATTGCAACTTGAGTATCGGTGTGAAGATCCTTTCCCGTCTTTGTACGAGTTGCAATAAACATTTCAGACTTTGATGGTTCCTCATTGTTTTCTTTGGTTGCACGCTACAAATTATATCAAAAGAGATTAAAAAACGTATCAATATGTTCTAAAGAAAGCTTAAGATATGGTAAGTTTGTCATCCAAAAAGACAAAGTGGATTGGTCTCATGAAATTCAATTTTTTTACGAAATGTCTGCTAAGTATTACCAATGCCACGCGTACTCTTGCAAAATTAATAGGGCCCATTCGATGCCTCCACTTTTGCTTTTTCCTGTTTCGAGAATTCATCTCACACATGGCCTATATTAAAATAAAAAAAGATCTTTGAATTAATAAATAAAACAAAAAAAAAATAGATATGATGCAAAATAAGTTGAAGAGTAGAAATGCACTATTTTAGCCTTACTTGAACAGTTGGGTGTTTCCAATACTTGATCAATTGACGGAATTGTTCTTCTGGCATGTCATCAGGACGTTTTGCTAGCATATCCTCAACGGTACTATTTTTATCAAAATATCTATCTTTAATTTTTTGTTTGTATCGCCTCCAAGCATCACGAAGACTAGTCATCACCCACTTCTTTCCTTCTACTGGAATTAGGAATTTGGACTATGCAAAATAAAATATATTTAGCTTCAGTCAGTAAAAACAAACAATAAAATATGCAATCTCAAAATTGATTGTTCTTACATTAATATATTCCCACATGCGCTTTTTCTTATCTTTTGGCACCGCATGTCAACTAGTGTACATCAAGTTGATGAATCTAGAGTTCCTTGAAATTGTTCCTATAAAGTTGGTTAATTTCGACACTATCTTACCAGTTGGTCCCACTGCTTGTCCTTTATCAAATGTCACCTTCTTTCTTTCTTCCAAATTTCTTGCGTGAATATCCTTACATGTTGTTTTTCCTCGAACTTTTTTCAGCTCCAATATTCCTAGATTGATGTAACAGTAAGGAAATAAGAAATTTCTTTTTATATAAGTAATAAATCTTACAACGCTTAAGACATACCTTCTATACCACAATCAATGCCAATTTCCTCGTCTATAGCACACTTATCCCCTCCGATTTCTTCTTGATCCACAAGATCATCAGCTACTTTGTGGTTATCAGTTTTTGTTTCATCATCTATGTGTATTGCTTGTTTTTTTTTAAACTGATCAAGACTAGTAGCTGGTATGACTGACTTTCTCTTTACCTGCTTGCAGTTTGGTAGATCATGAATATCATGTTCTTTTTGTAGCTGTTGTTCTTCCAGAAACTGATCAAGACTTCTGGCCGGTAGGACCGACTTTCTCTTCACCTGTTTGAAGTTTAGTAGATCTTGAATATCATGTTGTTCCTCTGCATTACCAAGTGTTTCCCCAGTCACATGTACTGAAGTAGTAACACCTTTCTTGGAAGACGTTTGCAACCTAAAGTTGTGCACAGGAAGTTTAGTTCCTTTCTCTTGAATGGACTCTCCGGATTGAAATAAGCTCTTTTTAGTTTGTCCTTTCCCAACAACCATATGTGAGGTACCAAGCTCTTCCCTCGAAGACGAATGAATTACTGATTTGTACTTAGGCAATTTACTCTTTCCTTGTTGTGGAATGAAATCCTCAGAATTCTTTCTTTTATGTGCTATTGGTGCATGCTCTTTCTTAGCTTTATCATTGCGTTCGTTAGCAAGTTGTTCTCTCTTAATCTTGAATTGGTTAACCAATTCAGTACTTGATCGGTATTGCATATCAAAGTTCAGATTCTTCAGTGGACTTTGAGCTTTGTTCGGATTCGAACCCTTTTTCTTTAGTGCTGCTGATTGACTCATTCTTCCCGCTTTCTTTTAATCTCTTTTTTTTCTTTCCCTACAGTAAGTTAACTTACAAAACAATAATCAGGTGATTGTTAAATAGAAAAAGCAAACCTGCAAAGAGAAGAGGTTCTAGCTTCATAATCATATACGTTCTAGGATTGTTAGATAGAAAAAGCTATAGAAATATAACTTTAAAAGATTTAAATGTGTTGCCTTCATTGTGATATAGAGAATGAGTAGTGAACTAATCATTAGCTTCCAGAAAGATAAGGGAGTATTACACACAGAAGACTGATTTCACTGTGCTGCCTTCACTGCCTTCACTGTGTTGCCTTCACTGCCTTCTCGATGTTTATCAACCTTCACATCATCCCAGCTAAATTCTGTTGCAGCAAAAAAATTATACATTAGGAACACTACAAAATAGGACAAAAGTATAACAGCTTGATCCTGCAGAAAAAAAAAAGAACCTCCTATGCCATCTACAGAAGAACTTCATTAAGCATGTTTGAATTAGAAAACATCATAATTCAGAATTTTTATCTGAGAAAAGTTAGTATAATCATTGACTCTAGGAACAACAAGAAAGCTGACTAGATCTAGTATAGTCATGTTTGTTGGAGCACATGCATGATTCACCCTATACAAGCAGCAAATACCACAATTTACAAGTACCAACAGCAACAACATACTTAGTTATCTTAAGGTGTTTGTACAAAACAGTGAAATAACAAAAAGAGTGAGTTAGCACTATATGGTCATCACAAAAATATTAAAACTCATGGTGTGTCATCTTCAAACTCATCTTCAGACTCATCGTCCGACTCATCTTCAGAATCGTCTTCATACTCATTTTCAGACCCGTCTTCACACTCTTCTTCAGACTCATCTTCAAACTCTTCTTCAGACTCATCTTCAAACTCTTTTTCATACTCAACCTCAAGTTGTTGAGTAACAAATTCCTCCGAAGGCACATCAATAACAGTTTCTGGTACATCAGTCCTTACTAAGGTAACTTCACCATCATCTTCTGGTATGGATGGTCCCATCATGTGTTCAGACAACTCATTTTCATAACTTTGTGGGAGATCAGATTCAAATTCATCACTCATGTTAAACAAGTCTCTCGGAACAGTCTTCATAACATAATGTCTATCTTGATCATATGGATCTTGCACATAGAAGCATTGATGTACTTGAGATGCAAGCACAAAAGGCTCTTCCTGACACTACTAGAAAATTGGCCTATTGTAACACTTAATTTTGCAACAGTTGTATATTGGTTGCCATAGATTCTCTATAGCAACGGTTATTTGTAACAGTTATTTGACCGTCGCAGTAGATAGCCTATGGTAACGATTATTAGCAACAGTTGAATAACTGTTGTAATAGATTATGTATTGCAACACATATTTTCTAACCGTAGCTTAAATTCCTCTATTACAACAGTTGCTTCTCTAAAAAATAATTTCTCTTTTTTTTTTGTGTCCTTTAATATCCGCTCCAAGTTAAAAGCCCCACCCCTTTATCTCTTTTATTCCATTTCTCAACTTTTTCCCCTTTCTTTGCTTCCCACTCTCTCAATGGTTTCATAATTTCACCAATGATAGATATTAGTTGTGATAAATGAAATCCAAACCTCACTAAATATGATATATCCTTACAAAAGTTCATAAATATGGGCCAGTTGCTTCACTCTGCTCTTCGGAAGAATGTCAATTCAGAACTTATGCAACTAGCACAACGACATATGTTTGTTCATCTATTTTTTCGTTTGATTCATTTGTGTGATTTTTGTTGATGTATTATAGGGTTAGAATTTTGAATAATTATAGAACTTGTTTGTGGCTAGGGTTTAGTTGTGGTAGTCTCCAATTTCATGTCTTGTAAAGGAATTTTTCCATGGTGAAAAGTGATGCGTTTATGTTTTTGCAGTTAGGGTTTTGAATTTTGTAAAATGTTTTCTGTTTTAGATTAAATTGTCTTATTAGCTTTCTCTATCTATAGTAGTTTCGTTTTTGAATTGCACTTTTGTGTGTACAGTTGCTTGTCTTCTTTTTTATCCTCTTGAAGCTATTGTTTCTTTTGATTATCCCTCTGATTTTGTTAATTATGTTCATCAGAATAATGTAAAAAACAAGTCAACATCCTTTAGTTAAAAATGACGTCGGACTAAATCACATGCCCAATTTGTTGTTCCAAAGAAGGTCCACTCCTTAATCCCATTTATTTTTTATTTTTCTGCTTTTGTTTATGTATGTATATTTCACTTCTTTTGTTTGGCTTTTTTTAATCACTTCAAATGATTTCCTTTTTTATATTGTTTTCTCATCACTGTTGGAATCTGTAGGTGTTCGATTCGGATGGGTGAAATTTTCTTGTATTCTCTGGTTATTAAAAGAAATAATTGGTTGTTTTGGTCAAAGTGGTTAGTATTTGTACAACATTAATCATTCTACTAATTGCTTGTTGTAGAGTTCAATTTGACAATATTTTAGCTACGTGTTTGGGAGAAACCTTATTTTGGTTGATTGTGGAGTACAACTTGTAGTAATTTTTCTACGAAAAAGTTATGATTTGAAGTATACTAACTTTTAGAGGTGAAGAAATTGATTTTCTTTATGATGCATTAGGGGATTGAATGATAAAGGTATTAACATTATAAATATTTTCTCTTATTGTTGATCTTATTTGAACTTTTCTGGTTACATATGAAGATAGATATCTTCAATTAGATTTGTTGTCCTTGCCTGAAGTTGGAACTTGAATTCAATTTCAGGCTCCTGTTACTTCTCTATGGATATGTTATGTATTAAAATCTTTTATTGAACTATTTGGCTTCCTCCTTTATGATGACAAGATGGTGTTATAACTGACTAAAAGGTAAGGGGTAAGCTTTGGGTATACGCTAGCCGCCGTAGATCCTCCTTATGGGAATACACTAGGTATGTTGTTATTTCATTTTCATTTATTTAGTCGATTGAATTCCGCTTTCAAGTGTTCATCTAAAGTGTTTAAAGTATTTGGATGAGAAATATGTTAACTTTTTTTGCTAAAAGAGTTGTTTTTTTTCCTAAAACAGAACATTGAAACACCAACTAGAACATTTCCAGTGAGGTCCTAAATAGAACACTAATTGATTTAAGTTCAAGTTTCCAATAAATTATACCAATTCAATAGAAAATTTTCATCTTTGACGAGATAAAGAAGTGGGAATCAATTAACAAGTAACTATAATTTAGTCCTCACCTGCTCCCTATCATGTTTTGCTCACTACACTGAACTATGATGCATACTGAAATTTTATCTGCCATAAACAAAATACGTATTTCTCATTTGACGAGTTTACATGTTTGAATGAGTTTTTACTTTTTTTCTCCTTGAGTTTATATATAAAGTGGCGCTGTGCTAAAATAGTTCCAACAGAGAAGGTCATACTATAAATTTATGTCATAGATGATTCTTTTAACTGTTCAAAAAAGAAAATGTTTGTTTCACTATGAAATGTGTGATCTATATTTATTTAAGAGTTTTATAGGAAAATGCAACCTAATAGTGAAATTGAATGATGTGTGTTTATTAAAAGCTTTATTAAGGACATGGTGTGGTGGTTGAATTTGCTAGGAAGATAGAAAAATTTGTTGCTATCAAAAGGAAGAAACAATTTATATTTCTCTAGCATAGAGTCGATTGGGTGTTGACATAACTTTGGTATGTCAAGGTATCAACTTATGAGCTTCCTCTTTTAACACATTTTAGTTTTTTCTTGATGTGCTTCAATGATAGAAACTCTATGATTCCACTTCTACTTAACCCGTGAATTGCAGTCTGTTCCTATTAGGTGTATTTTACCTTCATGCTTCTTAACCTTAACTGGGAATAGGGACTAAATAAGTTAAGACTACTAAATAAGACACTTCTTTTCTAGAATACAAACTCATCAATCGTGGTAATTCTTTTATCCTTCTCTCTCCCACAGAATCCAAACTTTTGTTTCTCTGCCCTTCGTTTTTGTAGTGTCATTACTTTAAGTTATGTTAGAATTTACATGATCAGATACTCCAATTGTGATATCATAGCTCGTTAAAAATTGTTTTTGTTAACAATTTTGCATTGAATTACCTATATCTCTTTGATTTCAAGTTTTTAATGTTGATTACTTTTTATAGGTTTGCAGGAATACTATATGCTTGCTTGGTCTAGTGCTTGGAGACAACAAAGCTCTCTAATTTTTAGTTGATGTTTGCACTCTATTGAAGATGTTGTGCATGTAGATATGGTATTCTTATTGAAATATCTATAAGATTGAAATTCTGATTTTATTATTTGACATAATATTTTAAGGACATTGTCTTTGGCTTTGCTTTGGCAAGTAAGGTGTGGTTTTCAGATCCCTGTCCATATCAAGCATCATGTTGGAGGGATCATATCATGTTTCAAGGGACTTTCCTTGCACATGCGATCAAGTGAACATACTATGCTTTCCATGTTTTTAAACTCTCAAAGGGTAAGTAGGGCAGTGACTTCACAGTTTGAAGAAAGTCATTCGAGCTGCTTGATGCCCAGGAGGAGAAAATCATTCAGTAACTTCATGATTTTTTGCTCTGCAAGAAGATCACCCGGATAAGTAACATGATGCTGACACTCACTCTGATTTAAGCTTTTTAATCCATTAATTTAGGCAAGACCTTTTCAATAAATTGTCTGTTTTGTTGCTCAAGGTCCGATTATGGGCCAATCTCATTGAACCACAACTTTAGGTCTTCGATTGAGAGTGGAGAATTATATAGGCTTGGGAGACAGATGGGTATCGTAGTACATTGGGTTTATTTCTCTAGCAACTTCCTTGAATGGGAGGCCATTGGTCCCTTGTAGCTAGATGCATTTCCCAACGATGACATCAAATGTATTGTCAAACATTATTGTATATTTTTCTTTTATATGTAAATAATAATAGCTGATAATTTTAATAATGATTTTGTTGTTGAATGGTTTATTTTGTGATTTATACAAATATAAACATTATATTTTGTTATGCTGGTAAAAATTGAATTAAATCTTTGTAATAGGTTTCAAGAAGTGTTAGAATAGACATAACTAATGGTTGCTGTAGCTTTTAAAACCGTTGCAATAGAGCCTTGCTATTGTTAAATTATGCTAATGCAATGGGTACAAAAGCGTCCCACTAGACGAAATAATTGTTGCTATAGATAGGTATTAGCAACGGTTGTATAATCGTTGCAATAGGACAACCTATGGTAACAGTGTGAAGACCGTAGCCAAAAACCGTTGCAATAACTCTACTGCAACGCGATCAGATGGGACGGTTCCCACACTGTTGCAATAGATCTAATGGAACGGTTATAGCATCTATGGTGGCGGTTTTAGAACTGTTGCAATAGACCTATTTTGTAGTAGTGTGAGAGCATCTCTTGTTAAAATAGACATAAGTAAGGCCATAAATATCTTTTTCAACCTCATACCAATCGCACTTAAACAGAACAACCTTAAAATGACTAAAATAGTCTAACTCAACTATATCAACTATTCTACCATAATAAGTCAAATCTGCAGCAATCGGGTTCTTATCCTTTGAGCTTGCAAAGCTTGTAGTTGAGGCAACAACTGTAACACCACTATTTTGTGTTTTACGCCTTGCATCACGTTGCCTAATATGGAATCTATATCCATTAATGAGATACCCAGAGTATCTTTTAGCAACAGAATTTGGTCCTCTAGACAATTCTTTTATCAAATCAGGCACATCCTCTTGCAAAGCACGAATTTCAAACCATTGAGAGAAGTTTTGACAATGATCCTTAGCCTTGCTCCATTTAGATCTTCGCGGATGATTATTAACCTCTTGCTCATGCTCTCTACACAATATGTACTTTTTTGTTAAAATGATAAATAAAATAAGTTAAAAATTAATTATACAAAAGAAAATACAATATAAAATTAAAGTACCTAATATATTCTTGAATCTCATCACAATTTCCCAATAAGTATGCATGTGCCTGACTTAGTGACTTGTTATCTAAACTAACTGAATCAGTTTTCTTTGCTCCTAAAGGACATCCCTTTTTAGGAAATAAACTCACTGTTTCTCCATCACTTGGGTCACATTCATCATTATTTTGGGCTCTTCTGTTAAATCTGGTTTGTATTGCCCTATGCAGATATCTAGAAAATAAATTCATACAGTCTATTCCCACACGCGCCTCTGCTATGCAACCTTCTGGATAACGTCTGTTGCGGATATATGATTTGAATGTACCCATTTCTCTTTCAGTGGAATACATCCATCGGTTCTGAACTGGACCGCCTAATCTCACTTCATTCACCAAATGAATAGGCAAATGAATCATTATATCAAAAAATGACGGAGGAAAAATTCGCTCCAACTGATTTATTGTTTCCCTGATCTCTACTTCTAAGCAATCTAGTTCCTCCAATATGATAACTTTTTGACACAAACGTTGGAAGAAGGAACATAGACGAATCAAAGGAATAGCCACATGATCTGGAAGGATGCTTTTAATTGGTATTGGAAGCAAGTAATGTAACATGAAATGAGCATCATGGGTCTTATAACCAGACAATTTTCTTTCATCTAATTGCACACACCTAGATATATTGGAGGCACTACCATCAGGTAGCTTGGCTGTCTTTAAAACTCCACAAAAAACTGATTTCTCTCCATTTGTCATTGAGAAGCAAGCTTTTGCAAACTTTGTTCTCTTATTATCTCCAGTATCTTTTGGATGAAGATTCTTTCTAATTCCCATCTCTTTCAAATCATACCGGGCTTTTGCATGATCCTTTGTTTTGCCAGGAATATCCAAAAGAGTTCCAAGTATGCTATCGACTATGTTCTTCTCTATGTGCATTACATCAAGGTTGTGGCGTAACAAGTTGTGTTGCCAATAAGGTAATTCAAAAAAGATTGACCTTTTTTTCCATGGGCCATCATTTGATCTCTTTCTCTTCTTTCCAAACACATTTTCAAAATCTTGTAAGCTATTAAGCACATCGGTTCCCTTTAATAAAGGTGGAAGAGGCCTGAATTCAGTTTTTCCATTGAAAGATCTTTTGTTAGATCTCCATGGATGATCCATGGGTAGAAAAACACGATGATCCATATAACACATTTTTCGACTATGCTTAAGATAGCGAGAATTAGTGTTATAGTTACAACAAGGGCAAACAAACTTTCCTTTTGTACTCCATCCAGACAACATAGCATATGCAGGAAAGTCATTGATTGTCCACATAAGAGCTGCTTGAATTTGAAAAGTCTGATTTCTTGAAGCATCATATGTTTCAACCCCAGAATCCCACAACAATTTTAACTCATCTATCAATGGTTGTAAGTAAATATCAATGTCATTTCCAGGTGATCGTGGCCCAGGTATAAGTAAAGAAAGTATAGAATATTCAGATTTCATGCACATCCAAGGCGGCATATTATACGCCATTAACATAATTGGCCATGTGCTATGAGATATACTCATGGTTCGAAATGGATTGAACCCATCACTTGCTAATCCAAGTCTTACATTGCGAGAATCTTGTGCAAAAATTGGATGCAACCTATCAAAATCTTTCCATGCTTGACCATCAGCGGGATGCCTTAACTTTCCATCTTTAGAACGCTCCTCGTCATGCCACCTCTAAGAATCAGCCGTCTTTGAGCACATAAATAACCTTTTGAGTCTAGGAATTAATGGAAAGTGTCTCAAAGTCTTTGCTGAAACTCGATGTGATTTCTTAGAAGGCTCAACCTCACTATTAACTTCAGGATTTTTAATATATTGTGAAGCTCCGCAAGTATGACAAAATTCATCATTCTTATGATCATTCCTAAACAACATGCAATCATTTGGACATGCATCAATTTTCTCATAATCAAGACCGAGATTCTTAACCATAGACTTGGTCTTATTGTAAGACGGAGGAATGTTCAACTCGGGCATCGCCTCTTTTAATAACTCTAAAAGAGAAGTGAATGATTCATTGCTCCATCCGTGTAGACACTTCAACAAATATAAACGAAGTGTGAATGATAATTTAGAGAATCCTGTACAACCAGGATATAATTCTTGGCTTGCCTCTTCAAATAAGTTATAGTATTTCTTGGCATCTTCATTTGGACCATCATAAACTCCTTCAGCCTGTGCAACATCTCTAAATTGATCATTTAACAACCCATCAATATCATCACGCGAGTAATCCATATCATTGTCAACATTCAACTTGATATCCCATTCCTTGTGATTGATCCATTTAGTATAACCTTTAACAAATCCATAGCATATTAAATGATCATACACTACATTCCTTCGAGTCCAACGAATATTACAACATTTTGCACATGGACATTGAATTTCTTGTCCTTGAGGATCTTCATAAGAGTAAGCAAAATCTAGGAATGATTCAACACCATCAATATACGGTTTGCTATACCTTGCTAAATTCATCCAATCCTTGGATGAGATATTTGTATTCCTAGAAAAATATATCAATATTTAATCTTCCAGTAACAATCATTAAATCATTAATTACTTCACAACTAAGTTTTAAAAGTCATGAGTAAGTTACCAGAATCAGGTGTTATGAGATGATAATAGTTTCTTACCTAGTCATGGCGCTTGTGCTATGCCAAATCAAACCTTGAATCCTCCACAAATGTTTTTGAATGTTGATTATACGTCTAAGGAAAAATAAGTAAAATTAATAGGATAGACACAATTAAGAAAGAAAGTAAATTAATAGGATAGAAACAATTTAATGAACTAATCAAGATTAAGCAAACATCTACTACCATGTTTAAACATTCAAGCAAACATTACAATGATCCTATAATAGATAGTCGATCACACCAAAAAAACTTAAAGTTTCGTAGAGTTTATTCATTCTAAGTTATCCTTGACCTAAAGCAAGATTAGCTATAATCTTGGATCCTAAGGGTGAAATATTACTTATAGAAGGACTTTGAATAAGAAGAGTTGTGAAATTTTTCAAGACTCTAGAAGTGTTCAATGCTTAACAGAATTCTGTGATAAGGTTTACTGGAAACCTGATTTTAAAAAGAGTTCATTAATTTTACTTCAAGTGTTATGTAGCCTTCCAAGTTCTAAAAATAGGAAGAAAACAATTAACACGATCTAAAGCAGGCAAGTTGAACCAGATTTTAAGGCTAAAGTTGACTGCATTTTAGAGAAGGAAAAGCATGCCCTGATGAATGTTATATGTGCCATTAGACAATGTTGGAGAGTGCTAGGCATCTATTTTTGCACTGTAAAGTAGCAGCTGGCATATGGAGTGTGTTCTTATCAGTTTTCTTATCTACTGCAGTTAACTGCCATGACTCACCCTACAATCTGAACCTGCCAGGACTACCAGATCACTCAGCTTCCTTCATAAAAAATTCTATAATCTGAACCTATGCACCTCCCTTATTCAGAAACATACCAGTCATATTCAACCATTCTGCATCAGAGTTCTGCCTCCTGAACCTTGTGTTCCCAAACAGTCAGACTATGTCCAATAGCAGAACAGAGTTCTGCCTCCTGAACCTCTTTTTATTCAATTCTTTTGTGTTCTGTTTTGTATAGAAGTTTGTTGCTTTGGTAGATTGAGTTACAATATTTGTTTGGATTTTTTTAGTCTTGTTAGAAATTTACAAGAAAATAGAACTAGCACTTTGTCATACACAGCTTTATATCTATTCTCCAACCCAAATTTCCTGAGTAGACTGTTCTAGAGCTGAAAAGCTTAAAAACTGGTAAAGGTATTAATCAAGAATATGTTCATCTGGTGAAATAAGCATGTTCCCTATGCAAATGAGCAAACAATATCATTCAGAAAAACAAGAGGAGCTTCTAGTCACAAAATAGGAGAAACTAACAGTGGAACTCCTACTCCTCCAAACATCCAATATAGAGTATGGCTACATATCAAAAGAAGAGACTCTATAATTTTTGTAAAAAGCACATGAATAACAAAGTAATATTCCAAATATCAGCCAACCTCCAATGCAAGTAAATTAAACTACCCAAGATTGATGGGCAACTAAAACTGACAAAAGAGATAAAACTGTCTGGACTGCATATCGAAAAAATCCTCTGGGAAGCAATATCCAACAACTTAATAAACTGCATACACAAAGCATCTCTATAGGCATACATTTGCAAGAATTAAGATTTTAGAGATTGTAATCTTTTGTGTAGCTGAGCTTATAGAGTTATAGGATTATTTGGCTATACTTGTGAGTATGTTAGACTTGAACACTACGGAGACAGAGTTATAGGATTACAAGATTTTATTTGGCTATACTTTTGTGTAGCTGAGCTTACAGAGTTATAAAATTTTAGAGACTGTAATGTTTTCTGTAGTTGAGCTTACTGAGTTATACTTGTGGCTTCTTTCCATTACTATAGTCTTGAACACTACGGAGCTAAATAGTTTAATTCAAAATTTATAATATTAAGGAAAACAAAGATAGATATTTACTGACTCAAATGCTTTCGAGTAGTAATTCCCTCTTTCTCGTCTGCTCAATATGCCTAGGGCTAACTTTGACGTTCAGATTTTTCGCAATTTCTTCCCCTACTTTGAAATTTCAGCTGTAAGAACCCCCAAAGTAATCAATTCCTTCTAAACAGGAAACAAAAATTCAATCAATTGACTGTTTTTAGTACTAGATGATTAGTAGAGAATAAAAAGAAATCTCAGCTGTACGAAATTGGTACTTACGCTTCACGAAATTGGTATAGGAGAAATCTTCAGCTCAGCTCTTTAGCTTCCTCTCTTCAGTTCTTCGATCCTCAGTACATGTCACATTAAATGTTTTTCCACATATTTTTCCACCACCCCATAGAGAATCACTAGCTGCTGCTATTCTTGTACCTTGGGCCTTGTTTCCATAACACGCTGAGGCTGTCGATAAAAAAAATATTTTCTATAATGTCTGTGTATATAAGTTATGAATGAGATTACTGAATTTTAGAATTGATAGTGTGTCCACTTAGCTATGGACTATTTAGCGACATGTCAACCGCGAATATTATAGTTAATTGATTTTAATTTTATTTAGTAAAATTTTTTAAGAGAGGATTTATAAAATACTTACGAACATATTTTGTATAAAATGTTGCAGTCCCTGGTGTAGCCAAAGCTAGGGAGAACAAAGTTGCCACAAAACCAATAATGAGAATAAAATTATTTTTAGGAATTATTGTCATTTTTGTTTTCAAAAAGTTTTATTTTATTTCACTGATATATATATCAATTCAACTAGTAATGCAATACCTTTTTATAATGTTTTAATTGGCTAAAATTTGTTAACCACTTTTACTAGAATTAAGGCAGTTCATTAATTATGTGTGCTTTTTATGTCTTTACTATATTCATATATGCATTTATATAGTAATTAAGCTAATAAAGAACATTGATTATTAGTCAAATTATTAATATAATTTTAGATGAACGACATGTGTCCTTTAATTTAACACATGTAAAATGCATAGACCTCTAATTAAATTTTATATTAGATACTTTGATACTAAAGAATGACCATCATGATACAATCAAATTATGATCAAGATTAATGATTAACCTGCTGAAGGGTTGAAATATATATTTTTTAAAATAGGTTAAGGCTTGAACGTGTTCACATGAATTCAAATTAAATTATTTTAAGTCTAATTCATAAAATTCTGGACGGGCTGGACGGATTACCCATGTTTGGATCCATTTTACAAATTAAAGACAGAGATAGAGAAGGGATTTGGTCCATTTTTAAGTGTAAAATTGCAGTTGAAGAGAATAAATAAAAACTATGAAAATATTTCATTAATGAACATGTAAGATTGAATGGTAAAATTGACCAAAGTCATTGAAAGTATTTAAGTTCGATTCTAAGTAGCTACATTTCTTATGTATATTTTTAAAGACCAACCATGTTTGTTGGTTTTTTAAAACTAAAGAAACTCGATAAGCTAGAGAAGTTTCTCTGTCAGTTTCACAAAATATATGAAGTCAAAATCAATGATACACAATCCATTTAACTTTTATTAAGAACTGACTTTGTCAGCTGATTTTGACCCTCAATTTTGACCCTTTTTTAGTAGTGCCTTATGGGACAAAGCTCTTGAGTCTAGAAGTTGTTTAGATCCATATTAGATGTGTCTACTTTATGTTATAATCTTTAAGGAGTCTAATTTTGTCATGTCAAAGATTAATAAATAGGTAAAACATAGAGGATTTTCCGTGCCTTTTAGTTTTACTTTTAAGTACATATCATATAATATTAGATTGATATCAGATTAATCGATATAAATAGTGAGAATTCGTATAGTTATCTTATTTTAAAGCATATAAATTATTGATAATGTGTGGAACAAAGAAAAAAAGAAAGGAATACCAATGAACTTTTATTAATAGAATTGATCAAATCAACTTCACTAAGGGAATATAGTTCAACATATATAAAAAAAATTGCTTGCTTTTAATAGGATCACTAGCTGCTGCTATAATGGTACTTTGGGGTGTGCTTCCATAACACGCCGACGCTATTGATCAGAAAAATATTTTTTAAATCATCAGTATATATAAATTAAGTTCGAGCGATCAAATGAATGAGATTATATTGAATTGTAGCACCGAATAGAAATTAGCGATCAACAATTTTCGTCGCTAAATAATAGTTTATTCCTAATTCTCTATTATAGCTAGTTGATTCTCTTTTTTTGTTTAATAGAATTTTAAGAATGGATCAAATTGAAAGGGGAAAAAAAATATACTTACGAACATAATTAGTATAAAATGTTGCAGTCCCTGGTGTAGCCAAAACTATAGAGAACAAAGTAACCACAAAACCAATAATAACAAGAATAATATTTTTAGGAATTGCCATTTTTTTTTGCTACAAATGATTTATTTAATTCTCTGATATATTTTTTAAAACTAACCATGACCTTTTTATAGTGTTTTTTCAAAGTGTCCACTTAAGAAAATATGGTAACAACTTAAAAGAAATAGTGCAAATTGTAATTATTATAATTAGATTACTATCTCTCTGAATAATTTTCTTAAGGCAGGTTAATTAGTTGGTAGAGATCATATAAAATATTAAGTTAATAAAGGATGGTGTTAGTTTTTTTTTAATTAATGTAATTAATTATTAGATTTCACTTTAAGATAGTAAGTTAATGAAAAAAGTTTGTTAGTTTCTTTTATTAAGGTAAGTTATTTAATGATTAGATTTCACTAATTGAGATTGTAAGTTGATAAAGATGTTGTTAGCTTTTTTATAAGGTAAGTTAATTTTAAATTTCACTTGAGATAGTAAGCTAATGAAGTTTCAAAGTATATCTAAAATAATTCAATCAGTATGATTTTTACCAAGTTTAAATCAATTTATTTGTTGTTATATTTTTTTAGTATCTAATAAAAAAATTGTATTGTGACTATCTATAACATATCATTTTAAAAATAAATATTTTTTAAAAAAAATATCTTGATAAATATCTCATGGGTCAGTTTTAATTATATATTAGCCCAATTTTTGATGGGTTGAAATGAATTTTACTTAAGTTAATAACCTGTCTAAGTTTGAATAAATTAATCGAATTATATTTTCCTAAGTTGATTTGATCACCTATAAATTCATAACAATCGAGAATAGTGCCACAATTTATATCATACATTATAAAGCATATAAAACATTTGAATTCTATATACATTATGAATATGTTATTTAGCATATACAAGAAAGTTAATTTGTGTAATATAGTCCTTTAGATATATTTTAAGGAATTTGAATTTTTTAAATTTATTAAAAATAATTTTTTTAATTTTTCATAGAAAGTTTTTGTTACAAATTTCGGATGTTAAATTTACGAGAATTATGTCTTGTGGTTAGTAAATGGACGGATAACTATGAGATTTCAAATAAATTTCTTAATGGTGGTAAAAAAAATATTTGTTATGAAATTTGCTGGTAATCCTTAGCTAATCCATTGCTAAATAGCTCCTAGCTAATTAATCCATAGTTAAATAGAACTAGCATGAGATGCTATAAAATTTTGTCCTTAGTTAATTCTTTATTTTTTTTTTCTATTTACCTAAGTCTTGCTTAATAACATTTCCCCCCACCCCTCCACCTTATTTGGTGAATATTTGGATCTGAATTGAATTTTCCAAATAATAATTTTGCATTCAATTTACTGTACCACACAAATTTAAGGCGCGTGAGAGGACATATTTTTTCTTAATAATGTATTTTTTTTCTCACCCTATTCACTTATTTAAGCTAAAAATATAAGTTTGCATTCAATAACAACAAACTAAAAAAAGTTAAGTGTGACGCACATATTTAAAGTGTGTGAGAGAACATAGTATATATTTGGAAATGGTTACACATAATTTTTTTCCAAATCTATTGTTTGTCTCCATGAAAGTGCGTGATTACTTCTTCTTTTTGTTGGTTAATTTTTATAGTAAAGTGATTATAAAATGGTAATTGAAATTTAATCAACAAGATCATGAAAGTTCAAAAAAAAAAAATATCTTAAAAGTTTAGATAGTCAATTAATTAACTGATTTTGTTTCAAAATATCTGACATTTTAATTAGAAAAGACAAGAAGCATATAATTAAAACTTTTTAAACAAATACTCGAAACAAGTACATGTGAATCATTGATAAATTCAACTTCACTATAGTGTGTACTTCATTCCAATATTCTCCATCAATCTTTGATTGCCCTCTCATGAAATCCTGACAATCATAGAACAATATACTCAGTCACAGATAAAGTATATACAGTCAAACTTCGTTATAGTGATAGTATTTGTTTGAAATTTTTCATAATTTTTTTAATTATGAAGTGTTGCTATTCATGAGTTTATAGATAATATATTTAATCTTACAAGATATTGTTACACACTATTTGAGTATGATTCTTATAAAAATGTAATCACTACTGTTATTGCTAGAAAGATGACATAAAAAAGTAAAAACATAACATGAAAAATCAATTTTGGAGAAAATCAAACTATTATAGTGAAATATTGTTGTAGCAAACAATTGTTATAATAACGAGGATGACACTATAATGAATGTCACAAATTATTATAAATAGAATGTAATTAGAGTGAAATATATAAGTAATATCATGAAACATAGACTCTGGGAAAGATCTGATGATCATTATAATGAAATGTTATAATAACGAATGACTGTTATAACGAGGATCGACTACTTACTTGACATAGTCAATGCTAACATGGCCTTGGACAACAATTGGATTAGCAATAATTCTATAGGCATCTTCAGAGATATCCATTGTTACATGCTCACTTGGACCACAACCAGGGCAATTATCAACAACTTTTACCACAACACTTTTTCCAGTACAAGGACTTGGCACTTTTCCAATACATGTGACATTTAATAATGTACCACAATTAAAATCACCCCCTAGGTGGTCACTTGTTGCTAGGAGGTTACCTTGAGGTTTTTTTCCATAACATACTGTAGCTGTAACAATAATAATAATTACGTCTTAGTATCAAAACAAATTCCGATCAATTATATGAAGAAATAGAGGAGTATTTCATAGTATTAAGGAAATAAATAAATGGGGCAATTGAATTGTTTCTTGATACTTGAATAAAATGCTAGGCTCTTGTTGAATGCATTAATTTGCACAAAGGTTTGGTATTTATGTTAGAACTCGATTAAATTGCAATTCACGCATTTACAAGATCCATTTCTAGGAACGACACATCTAACAGGCTAGCGGATGCCTCTTTTCTATTTTAGCAACTCCTTAATTATATTCGTTTATGAGAGCAGCACTTCCAACCAGTAGGATGTCTTTTTCATGTTTTAACAACTTTTTGATTTCAACTTTCTACATGATCAGAGGCGGATATTAGGTTCATCTGAATCTGGTACTCTCAACGCATAGAATAAATTAATGAGTAATTTGTTTTAAAATGTGCAATAAATAGAATATATAAACACATAACTTTTGAAATATAACGTGTTCAATGCTAAAGTAAATTAGAAGTTGAACCCACAAAGATTAATTATAGATTCGCCTTCGCACATGAAATATTTAAGATTATAAAATTAAAAGACTTTTTAATATTTTTAGTTTATAATCGCAAGTTAAAATTTCGTATTGAATCAAAATCAGATAAATAAATTGAAACGACAGGACAAGAAACTTACGAACATAGTACTCCTTCCTATAAAATCCTGCAGTCCCTGGTATAGCTAAAGCTATGGAGAACAAAGTTGTCACAACACCAATAATTAAAAGAAAGGTACTTTTAGGAATTATTGCCATTTGTTTTTCTTTAAAAAATATTTTATTTCTATTTAACCAGTAATTACTACCTTTTTATAGGTGATCGAACCATTGGCTAAAATATGGTTAAGAGAATTAATTAAGACAATTCATTATTTAATTTCCTTTATTATCTTTTTTACTTAAATATATGCATTGTAATATTTACATGATTGCAAGATAATCATAATTTTCTTAATTAAGACAGGTTAATTAATTAGTAGATATTTTCATCACTTCAGTATAAAAAGAAAATAATTTGAAATAAATAGTATTTATAAACCCATTAGTATAAAATTATGTGTAAAAGTTTACAGAAGGCCAGATATATAGGAATTAATCAACTATTTAATTGTTTCAAATTAGAAAACACAAGAAGCATATACTTTTTAAACAAATACTCATATGATTACTCAATAATATTTGTATATCTTTCATGAAGTACATATATTAAGTTGTACATATACTTCATTCCATGCGCCATATATCTTTGATGCCCTCTCATAATTAAATCCTGACAATCATCGTAACAATACATTTAGTATAAAATAAAATTAAATATTTTAATTAAATTTTATGTTATATTTCTTACTTTTTGTAGTTGATGTTAATAACTTCCTTGACAGTGATAGGATTAGCGATGACTGAAATAGCTTCTTGAGTGAGAACCATGGTTACATCGCGACATGTAGAGCAATGATCAACAACTTTTACTACAACACTCTTGTCAGTGCAAGGTGGCGAGTTACCGATACATGTGACATTTAATGAGTCTCCACATGTAATAGTACTTCCTAGGTACGCGATCCGTGCTATAAGGCTACCTGGTGGAGTGGGTACTGAACATTCTGATGCTACAATAACAATAATTAAACAATTACGCCTCAATACCAAATTAGTTATATTAGTCAGCGATAATATTTTTTGTTTTTGTCTAATAGAATTTAAATAAATTAAACTTACAAGGATATTGATCATTGGTATAATAGGCTGTCCCTGGTAAACCCAAAGCTATGGAGAACAAAGTTGCCACTACACAAATAATGAGAAGAAAAATACTTTTAGGAATTGCCATTTCTTTTTCTAAATCTAATATTTATTGGAAATAATCACCACCTTTTTATAGGTGTCATTGGCAAAAATATGGCAAAATGTTAAGAAGATTTTGTTAATTAGTTATTAATTATTACTTGAGATATGGCAAGTTAATAAGAATTTTGATTATTAGTCAAACATTTTGATATTCCTGCGGTAGCTGAAATAAATATTTTTATCCCTCATTATAGTTTGGATTATTTAGTAAATCATCTTATATTTGACTTTCTCATTTACGAAACTCCAAATGTGAAGTGAGTGGAGTGCACTAGACATATCAAAATTATATACTTCTAGAAGAAAAGGTTCAAATATATTTATTTTATACTTTTGGTTACATCAAAATAATACTCTCAAAGTCAATGACGTATGTACCCTGAAGGATCATCAGTTGAACATCATTCTTTATAGAAAAATTATATAATATATATAAAAAATTATATGAAATATATAAATCACAAACGACTTTTAATAAGTATATGTTAAATCTTAAATATCTTTACTAAAATTTCTGACTTTGCCTCACTTTGATTTTAAAAAATAAACAATGAAACTTCTCTTTGTTCTAACTATAAAAAGAATGTATAACAAAGTATACTATAGTATTTTTGTATTAAATTTTTTTCTCATTAATAAAATAAAACAAATAGGTTATTCTTTTCAAAATAAAACAAACAACCAAATACATCAAATAAACTAATACAAAAGACTATACCTTTACCAATTGATGCTCTACTAAATTAATGTTCAAAATAAATTGAGATAGAAATGATATCAAATATAATATTAGCCAAACTAAAGATAAGAGATACTTAGATAAATGTATGAGTAATATAAGAGAGACGTGATTAAAATGAAGTTATATGAAATAAGATAGAATTGATTTTTGTGTGGAAAGAAAAGAGAGAAATGAATTGATTTAAATATGTGAAGAAGAGGTGCGAAGATCCGTCAATAAGGAGGTGTGAGAAGTTGACTGTAATAAGAGTTAGAAGAGGTAAAGGTAGATCGAAAAAGAACTTAGGGGTGAGGTGAAAGTGATTAGATATAATATGATACAATTCAGCTGACTGAAGACATAACATTAATTAGATAAAAATTTCAAAAATAGAAGATCAATAGACAATTGAATGTTGTTGTATTTCTTGTAGTATGATTCATGTATCACACAATTAATTTTTCTTCAATAAATAGTAATATCAATTGTTACACTTATTTTGTACATTGCTATTTTATTATCTCTTTTTCCTTCTTACTTCCTTTCATCGATTACATTCTTTTGAATGGAGAATTTATCAAAAACAATATTTTTTCTCTACAATAATAGATGTCAAATCCGCATATATCATATTCACTCGAAGCTTATAATATTATAATTAGCATGCTATAATATATCCAACATTATAACATTATGTTATATTTTCATACTGTTTTCACGATTTGAACTCGTATATCATAAACTATGGGCCATTATTAGTGGTATATCCCCTTAGCATCTCTCCTCATCCCTTCTTCCCAACAAACCGACAAACCATAGCTGATCCGATTGAACTTTGCTCATCTCTCTCTCTCTCTCTCTCTGTTTCTCACACAAAAATCTTTCATTCTTCCCAATTCTTGAAAACACCCAAATCTGTGAAATCTTGAAAAAACGTCCAAATCCATGCCAATTCCGATTCAAAATCAAGAAACTAAACCGAAAAAGTTGATTTCCCTTTTCATAAAATGCGTAATCATGGCTTTATTCCTTTCCCTTTTCTTAATTTTCCTTCTTTTCCTTGGTTTCGCCGCGCTTGTACTCCTCCACTTCTTAATCACCTCCACCGCCTTCCACCGCCGTCATCGCCGTCGCCACCATCATCGATTTCCGGCGAACCAAACATCATCGTTTGATCTGCCTTGTGTTAGTTATTGTGTGTCACAGCAATCTGTTAGGGATTGTGCGATTTGCTTGGAGGGATTTAAGGATGGAGAATTTTGTAGGAAATTGCCTGATTGTGGACACCTTTTTCATGTGAAATGTGTGGATTCTTGGCTTATGAGGGTTCTGAATTGCCCGATTTGTCGGATTCGGGTTCGGGTAGATTCGGGAAATTCGGGTTCTGTTATCAGTGATGAAGATTGGAAGAGATGGTGGGCTGTTGGTGTTTCAGGGTAGCTGCTTTTTTCCTGAAAGTTCTGCATTTTGTGGTTGTAAGTTGTTGAAAAAAAATCCCTTTTTTATCTTTTTTTGATGCTTTGTTTATGTTGAGCATTGTAATGTATGGTCATTTTAGTTGATTAGCAATGACATTATTGGCTAAATGATGATAGTAGCTAAGTATATGATGAAATTGTTTGAATTTGTTCAATTAAGTTAGACAATTTTGTGGATGAACCTTGTTTGATAACCGTGCCATCTTGTGCGTACCTCTGACTGATTGGAATCGGTAATTCTGTCCATGGTGGGAAGAAATCATGTAGTGTTTTTTATTCATTGGCTGGGAAAAAGAATCATCTCACTTGAGCAATTGATTTATTATCGTAGTTGTACATAGTATAGTGTGTGCTTGCTCTGGTAGGATACTCTATCCATATTCCATAGGATTGGTTTGAAAGATTTGAGTACCATGTATGCATTAGTTAGCAATGTTGCTCGGATTCTTGAAAGATGTAACTTAGTGCAAAGGATTTGCATATACATTACAATAAGTTTGGATGGAAAGATTTGAGTACCATGAATGCACTAGCTAACAATGTTGCTCGGACTCTTAAAAAATGTCATTTAGAGGAACCGACATGAGTGTGAAAGCATTTTTGGATAGGTTGAGCAACATGGCTAGTTAGAAGTAGATGATGTTTCATTGATGGAGGTAAATTTTGTTATTATCATTATCACTTAGGTAGTACCTTCATCGCAAATGGTATGTCGTGTTTACCTCTGAGAGTGTCATAATAGAGCTATAAATGAAAAATATGTGTCATAAGAGTTTTAGACATACTACGCAGAGATACCTAGTATCTTTGTCTGTTGTGGGGAGTAAGCATGTTTCGAGTGGAATAGTCGAGGTGTATGCAAGCTACCTGAACACCATCTTATTAGGAAGAAGAATTTTGCACATGCTTTTCTCTGCAAGTATTTGTGTTTTGAGATTATGTGAAGATGAGATGTGCGGACCTCCTGGTTAGGAGGTGTGAGATGTCGGCCATTGTGGGTCTGAGGCCGAGTAGAGGTAGGTCTAAGAAGTATGGGTGAGGTGATTATATGATGCATTTTCAGCTGAACGAGGACATGACCCTTGATAGGAGGGTGTGATGGTCGAAGATTAGGGTAGAAGGTTAGTAGGCAGGCGAATGCATTTCTTTCAATTCTCAGAGTATTAGTGTTCTTCTTTTTGTTGTTTTTCTTTATCTTTAGATTTCTATTACTACCTTATTTCATTGTTGTTTCTGCTGCCTCCTTTTCATCGACCGTTCAAATGAAGGTCTATTGAAAATAGTCTCTCTACTTTCTCAAGGTAGGAGTAAGGCCCGCATACACTCTACCCTCCTCATACCCCACATGTGGAATTACACTGGATTTTTTGTTGTTATTTGTGTTTTGTTTTGTTATCTAAATGGAATGTCTAGTTGATTGAAACATTTTGATTTACTCTAGGAATTGAACCAAGAAATCACAAAACAGGACACAAAGTAGTACAAGTTGGAGGAGCAAAAGATCTGCTGACATCAAGAGGAGAATGATGGACTGGAAGTGCAAAGATGAACTTATGGAGGTTTGCATCAATGACTTCTGATGTGAATTTCACTGCGTAAAACAACATGAACTGTAGTTTTCTTTTAGTGTAGTTTCTTCCCAAATAAATGATTTGGAGATGATCATATGTATAAATATAAATGCGTACCCATTCTAGCGGGTTGCAAAACATAAATTTTTGCCTTAAAAACTGTGTATTGTACATGAATGAGTTTCGCACTTTTCCTTGAATGTGTAACTTTGTAATGCATAGTGTCTCTTAATTGAGTAATGCATCTCTGTTGTACAAATGTTTAGTGGGAGAAATGAACATTTAACTGTTCAAGCTTTTTGATCAACGAGCGTGAATGAATTTTCATATCGTTTTGTATCAGCTTAGTTTCTACGTGCAATTCCTGCGAGTTTGCTTCTTATTTTTGGCCGTGCAGTTTATTGTTATCTGTTTTTTCTAAGTCCTGGCATTTGGTAGTGTCTGAACATCTTCTTTGGGCAATAGCTGTGAGTATAATAGCAATATGGCCTATGTCGCTCGGACTTTTCAATAATATCATCGGTTGTGTTGGATCTTCCAAAATCTATGCATTTTTAGAGAATTACTCCTCTTGCTACTTCCAATTGTTCAGCGGACACGTGGAGTTGAATTTCTCTCTGTAATTATGTCCGCATAAATAGACTGATTATTATAGGTGACTGTCTTTGATGGTTTAGAAAGTATTAAGCTTTTGACTGTCCCATTATTTTTAAGGCATATATTTTCACAGTTACGAGCTAAATTTTAGGAATTAGCGGACTTTCTTTGTTTTTCGTGTGTATTATCCCATGAACTGACATCTTGGAGCACCCAAGTCTTTTTTTATGAGGACCTCCGTAATGAGTTGGGGAAGGATTTTGTATAGTCCAATCATTTTAAGGCATATTTTTGCATTTACAAGCTAACTTTTAGGAATTAGCCGACTTTCTTGATTTTTCGTATGTATTAACCCATGGATCTGGTGCCTTGGCGCACCCAAATTTTTTTTCTGAAAAAACTAAATGAGGTCCTCCGTAATGAGTTGGGGAAATATTGCATATAGTCCCACTTTTTCCCCTTAATGAGGTCCTCCCAAATTTAGCATACTTTCATAATTTTTTTTAATATTACTGATCAGCTCTCTTCCGTCTAATTTCTTTTAGGATCATCTGCAGTGACCTGGTGAATCATATCCATAGCCTCTACGTGATTCACGCCATATTTTTTGTTTTACATAAAATAGGAATACAGGATGTTTCCCCTCCCTCCCCCCAAAAAACCCCCCTTTTTATAAATATATTTTAGTATCATCTATAATAGTCAGGTGAATCATATGGTCTTTTTTTTGGTGTTAGTCCATTAATTTTTTTAAAAAATTACTGAGTGACTTTGTTTAACCCAATTATTATTTTAGGATCATCTGTAATGATCCGCTAAACCATATACATCTATATGATCCACATTACTTTTTACACTTTCTTTATTTCAATTTGTGTGGGTTATTTTGACTTGACACAAAATATTTTTTTAAAAGGGATTTTTAAAACTTGTGGTCTAAAATAGGTCATAGTTATTTATGTAGCTTTAAATCATTTTATTAAAGATAAAATGAACATTAAAATTAAATTGCTACTAAATATAGAAATGTGTTATTCTTTTTTAGATTGACTAAAATGAAAAGTGAGTCACGTAAATTAGGACAGAGGGAGTAGCAATTAGCGGTCACAAAATACCAATTTAGGATGTTAATTTTTTTTGTGTATTAGTCCATGAAATTTTGAATATATCATTGACATCAGTGTTTAGCCCAAATATTTTTTAGGATCATCCACAATGACTTAACCCATATTCATAACATCTACATGATACATACATGCAATTTTTATAGCATTTAGAGGTCATAAAACAGGAATTTAGAATTTTCTTAATGTTTCATGTGTGCTTGTTTATTAATTTTTTAAAATATTACTCAACACCTCTTTTTTATCCAATTTGTTTAGCATTACCCTTAATGATCTGGTAAATCATATTCTTAGCCTTTAGATGATTCATGTCATTTTAAAAAATAGAATCTAGAGGTTATAGAACACGATTTTAGGTTATTACGGATGATTCTACAAAAATTGGTGTATTTACAAAATATTCATAGGTGAATAATCACGAAAAATTAAGAAAAAAATTAAATTTCTATTTCCTAACCTGTAAACGTTAAAAAAATATTGTGAATTCTATACGAGCTATGAATATCATTCATTACTTAATTATGGATGATCCTACAAAATTTGGAATAAAAAGATTTTGGACATGTATAGCTACAAAATATTCATTGGCTAACGCTCATAAAAAGCTTAGAAAAAAATTCATAGACTTAATACAAAAGAAAAAACAAGATGATCCTGGAGACTTGTTTAGTGACCCATAAACTCCAAAAAAGAGACGCTGCCCCTACGAAACTATGAGTATCTTATACTAGATTCTTACGAATGGACCCACAAAATTTAAGTTTAAATAGAGTCGATCCGATTTATTTTTAAACAATCATAAACTTAACTAATAAACAAGTTAGATAATTCTAAATTTTTATTTTATTATATATAAACTCCACAAAAAATAATAATTCTGCATCCAGAAAACTATAAATATCATTTACTAGATTATTACACATAATAATTTTTTTTTTATTAAAGATAGACATATCTGGAACCCAAGAATTCTGGTTAAACTATGCTCCAAAGTTAAAAGTCACTATAGAAAAAAGAGACACTACTATTAAAGCAAAAGAGACAAACGTGATCCAATGATATTAACATGTTATTTATTTCACAAGTTTAATTTGGAAATATCTAAATGGATGGTTTTCACATCTTCCCTCTTGTCCACAATATATTGTATTTTGATTATTTTTTTTTGCATACATCATAAAACCATTTTGTAATTTGAATATAAGAATATTTGATATTTATCATTTATCTCTTTTAAAATATAATAAAAATTTGAGGGGTAAAATAAAATTCTTTTTTCAAAAAATTAAGTATCATTTTTTTTAGTTTCTTATCTAAATTATCAAGTGTTTATGTTTCTTACTTTACTTATAACATCAACTATTTATCAAAATATTCTCCAAAATTAACTAATTGAGTTAACATTTTCCGTATACCAAATATTACTCCATCAATCCTGACACACTTTTTTTTGTCAGTTCCAAAAAAATAAATAATATATTTTTATATTTAGTGACAATTTAACTTTGAAATGTTTTTTTTTACTCTGAATAAGATAATTTATAACCATATAAACATGTATAACTTATTTTAGACCACAAGTCTCAGAAATCTCTCTTAAAACTCTATATCAAATCAGACAATATCATATAAAATTAAAACAGTAGAAATCTTATCATTTAAAAAATGAATAATTAAACCTAAGACCACAATAGTCAACACTGTCAACTCCATGTCAATTTAGGTAATTATATTTTCTACTCCCTCCGTCCCTATTTACTTGTCCATATTTCTTTTTTTAGTTGTCCCTATTTAGTTGTTCATTTTGACAAATCAAGAAAGGACAACAAATTTTTTCCTATTATACCCTTATTTACACTTTTTGAAAATTGTAAAAGTGTATGTTGTTTCCCTCCAATTTATTTCACTTGAATTCAAATAAGTGGTTGTAATTTTGAAGTGAAAAGTTGTCATAAGGGTAAAATTGTAACTTCACTGTGCTAATCATTGTTGCCTTTATCTGTGTGCCATTTCTAAAGTGGACAACTAAAAAGGGACGGAGGGAGTAAAAAAGAGAGAGAGAGAGAGAGAGAGAGAGAGAGAAAGCGAGAGAAGATACTCATACTATATTTCCACAATTCCAAAAAGCCAATGGTCAAATTATTACACTATATAATAGGTCCACAATCCACTTCCATCTTTCTTTTTCAAATCTTATAACCTCCAAAAAAACCTACCAAAATAAATTTTAAAAAATCCAAACAAAATAAAATAAAAATGCCTACCGGAGAAAATTCCGACCATATTTCTCAAGAACCAAATAATATATTTCTTCTTGCTAAAATTATCATCAATTCCTTCAAAATTTCTCTATTTTCCACCAAAAAAATTTCATTTTTAATTTTCTTTTTCCTTTCATTTCCACTCTCTTTTATTCTCTTCTTATTATCCTTCCTCACTTTCCCTTTAAAAAATAGAATTCAACATCTTGAAGAAATATCATTATTTTCATCTATACATGTTGAGTCCAAACAACTATTAGAAGATGCAAATGAAGAAGCTAAGTCTTTGCTATTTTTGAAAATTCTATTTCTCTTTCCTACTTTTTTACTCTCCTTTTTTACCGCCGTCACCGCAGTAAATGTCGCGTTTTCCGTATGTTCCAACGGAAAACCGACTATCCTAACGGCTATTACTGCAGTCAAAGCCGTTTGGATACGGGTCGGGGTTACTACGATGTGCGTTTACGTGATCATGCTAGCGTGTACCATTGTGCCCGGGATGCTCGTGGCGTTTCTCGAGACCCGCCCGTTTGTTCGGGTGGTTGTTGAGGTTATCGGGTCGGGTTTGGAGCTCCATATGATGGCGGTTACGAGCTTGGCCCTCGTGGTATCGGTTAACGAAGGAATGTACGGGTTTGATGCGATTCGGGTCGGTTCGGTTTTGATGGAGGGGAAACGGGTATGCGGGTGGGTTTTGTCCGGGTTGTTTGTCTTGTTTTCGGGTTTGGTTCGTGGCACGATGGAAATGTCGATGACGATGGACGGTTCGGATTTCAAGAGGGTTGAATCAACGGTTGTGATTAACTTGTTGTGGGATAATATGGTTTGGATTTTTTTGTATGCTTTGATGGTTCAATGGAGCTTTGTTGTTACAACTGTTTTTTACTTTGATCTAACAAGGAGAGATTCCATAAAAAGTGATAGAGATAGTGAGATTAGTTTAGTCTAAAAAAAATATATTATTTGTATGTAGTATTGTTGTAGTTAGTATAAGATGTAGGATTTGTATTTACGACGTAAATAAGTCGGATACTGAATTCGAGAGTTCAAAATTCTGTCACAGTTCATTTAGTTTATCGATTTCGAGATATAAGGTATAACTGTTTTGCAGACAAAAATCAGAACATTGAATCTACTCATTTCAGCTTTAGAAGATTGATTGAGCGGTGGATTTTAATGATGAAGACAAAAGCCAAGTTTTCTTTTTACTTGAAAGAGAAATGTATGTATACTTATCTATTGAATATTTTAATATTGTATCAAGTTCAATCGTTTAAGCTGAAGATACAAATTCAAATAAATACATAAGTTGTATATTTTCGTCTCCTCATATAATGATCGAAATTTCTTAATTCTTAAATTGCAAGTTCAAAGTGATAAGAGTATAAACTTAGGTACCTTTTGTATTGTGCCTTTAGACGTGTCACTCTTGTGTTGTCTTTAGAACATGTCCTACGTTGTTTCAGAAGAAAAGTAAGAATTTCAAAATGACTTCAAAAAAAAAAAAAAAAAATTAAAATTTTTTAACCATTTTTATTGGATTTTGTTCCAAATATTTTTGGTTCTAAATTCTTTTAAGAGAATCATATTCTCTCATGATAAAAAGTTAGTCATGTCTACTTTAAGTATGTATGGGAATAATATATGACTCAGTAATAAAGAGTTTTCATTCACTTTTCATAGCTCGAAATTCAAGAATATCATTAAGAAAAAATTGAATTTCAATTATTTTTCTTAATTATGAAGTGTGTGTATTTTATTTTATTTTTTTCAAAGTGTGTATTGTTTAAAATTCTATGCAAATTTAATTGTCTTCAATTTGTCACGTATTGTAAAACTTCAAATTTATACAAGTGCATGCATATACTTCATAAAATAAATTTTAAATTGAACGAAAATGACAATTATTATCTCTTATTGGTCAAATACACAGGCGCAGAGCTACCTAGGGCAACAACACCATTCGTCGAAAAATTATATTGTAATTTGTATATATAGGTCAAAATTTGATTTAATAAATATATATACAAGTGTTGACACTTCTTAATACAAATTGAAGATTTAGTATAATGATTACGAGTTTGAAAAAATTGCTTGAGGTTGTATGTTCTATCCTGGATAGCAACACTGCTAGTAAAAATTATTATCACATAAACTGAAAATATAGAAAAAATATATTCTATCAGTACACTGAATTTAAACTCAATTTAGGACATATAAATCAATGGGACCAATTCCTCAACTAGTTAGTTAAGCTTGAGTTGTTATAATGAGGACATGTTGATTTCTCTTCTTAATTATATTTTGTGCGAAAATAGAATAATTTTTTAATTACAAATAATAACAGAAATTTAAGTTGTAAATCATACATTTTTATTTAATAGTTCCCAATATTTTTTTGTTCGTACGAAAAAAAAGGTTCTAAATAATAAAGTAAAGAAAAAATTCGCGCCAAAAAATTATATTAAAGAAGTAAATTATACTAAACAAACTCTATATAACAAGTTCGATAAAAAAAAAGTATATAAAAATTTCAAACTTATACTAACTCTTTCATTTGGAAAATTACCTACTCAATTAACTTGATGAGGGGTACAATAACTGTCATTCTAGTCATGAAAGATTTACCATTATTTCAGCCACTAAATTTACAATTATTATTTTTGTGAACCTTTTTTGGGCAAGTGGAGAACTTTTGAAAAGTCAAAAAAAGGACAATACTAAAGATATTTCTTAAGAAGTAATATATATTTTTTGCAATGAAATCCTTGTAGTTTGGAACCTCCATTATATATACATGAAACTCTACAAGTAAAACTCCAATTTAGTTGTTTTAAAGTATTAGGCTTTTAAAAATAGACAATTATATGATTAAATTTACCCTAGAGTTGTGGTAAATAAATAATTTCGAAATGATACTTATATTAAAGTTGTAGTGTGTCTCGAAATAGGTCGTATGTGTAGATATTAACTTTTAAATATCTTTTTTAAATTATGTTTTTCTTTTCTTTCTTTATTTTGACTTTAGCTTCATTTTTCGTAATTATTATTTTCTTATTTATCGGTAATGTAATCTATTACCATTAACATCTTCATTATTATTGCTACTATTAACTATTGTTGTTATCATCATAATACTAATTATTATTGTTTTATTCCCAATTAAAAAAAGTTGTAAAGCTAAAAAGGAATGGAAAAGAGAAATCAAGGGGCCTTAAAGAGAAATCCTAAAGGACAAAGTGCACATGGGCCAAATTGACAACAAAACAAAGACAGACAGAAGCCTAATTCTAAGGACCTACACTTTAGCCCATTAGTCAAGGCCCGGGCCCATCAAAATTAATATTTTTACTATTTAAATAAACTTGAATGGAGTTTTATGATACCAATAAATTAAATATCTTACACATTTTAATATCTCACCAATCAAACATAGAAGCAATATAAATAGAAAGCTCATCATTCTATTGTTGAATCCAAACAAAAAGAATAGACTCATAAAATTATTAATGGAGTTTTATCATATTTTTGGGTTTCTCTCAATTCTCAAAGAGTCCCTTCAATTAATTCCAAGAAATAGAAAATTACTTGCCTTAACATGTTTTCTTCAGATTCTATTTTCCTCTATCCTTTTATCAATCTTGAATTTTGAACTTAAATTCTTGTTCCATGATATTATTTTAAAGACATCAATTTTGTCTACTTCAATTGATGATACCTTTAAAATCATGGAAATTATTGCTGCTATTAAAGAGGATTTTAGAAATTTTCTAATTGTATATGTTGCAATTCTTGTTAGTCTATCTTTAATCTCTTTTCTATACACAATTGCAACAATTATATTATCATCTAATATCAATATTTCTCTCAAAGAATTTGTTTTAAAAATCTCAAAGGCGTTTAAATATGCATTTATAACTAGATTATACACAAACATGTTAAGTATTGGTTATTTTTTTATTGTTTTATTTTTATTATGTCCTATTTCAATTTCCTCTAGCAATATTTTCCTTTTCTCTATAGGAATTTTTGTTGGAATAATTTCTTTCATATTTTTTCTATATTTATCAATTGTTTGGATATTGGCTTTAGTTATTTCAGTAATTGAAGAAGACTGTTATGGAATTAAAGCCATAGAAAAAGCTGGAAGACTCATTAAGGGGAATAGATTAAAAGGATTTATGTTAAATATTTTATTTTCTATAATTTCATCATTATTGTACCTATGTTATTTGAAGATTAATAAACCTAATAAAGGGGTAATTAACCAGATACTTATGTCTATATTTCTGGTTATTATTTCTTCTTTGTTTAATTTATTGTTATTAGTGGCATATACTGTGTTATACTCTCATTGCAAGAAGAACCATGGAGAAGAGGAAGTTGAATTGGATGGGAGTTTTGAGTATAGCAAAGTATAAAAGAGGGAATTTGTCATAACATTTTGATTCAAGTTCTGAGAATGAAGACATCCTTATTTAGGATCGTATCGAGCATTTTCCTTTAAAAGGAGACTTATGCTGCACAAATCCTCAATAATCGATGGAGTGAATTTCAGATATCAGATGGTTATATATAATTTGTATATCATTTTATTAATAGTGCTTGATGCATTTGGATTTTGCTCTCTTTTTTCTTTTTCTTTTTATGTATTGTGTTGGGATAAATGTTGTTATAACAATTACTCTCTTGTTCAAATTACTTGTCATCTATTTTACATAATCAAATTATATAAACTTTGATATATATTATTGCATTTAATATTACTTTATGTGTAGCTTTCAAACACTTCAACTCTAAATTAGTTAAACTGACACTCGAAAAATAAAACATGACAAGTATTCGAGGGCGGATGGATTATATCAATAATAAATGGTGTATGGACTCTTTATCTTGACTTGGTCATATAATCAATTAGCTAGAGTTAATGAATTAAAATGACTTGGCCACTAGCTAAGACAACTCATTCAATAATGTAGTACTTCAGTCTTCTCCTTTTGAAAAGTCCAAAATGAAAATTAAGCAAGTCAAGCATAATATTTTTTATTTTTTTAAAAAAAGAGAGAGATTGAATGATTAAGGTCGATAAAAACAACTCGATATACTTAATAGATAATTTCCTTAATAATTATACAAATCGAACCTATTCAAATTTTATACATGATAATTGACATTTACGATTGAACCAATTATTTTCTTAATGTCGATTAATATCAGTAATGACAACGTCTAATAAATATTAAGTTTTTGAACAAATAATTAAAATTAATTTTTTCACTTCCGTTAGAGGAAATGGGTATATGTGAGCCATTTGTATAACAATAGGAGTATATATGAACCATTTTTATAACGAGGGGTATATCAACTCTAAATAGAAAAGTAAAGAGATATATCAAACCTTTTTCCCTATTTGAAAAATTATATCATGTGCTATCTATCGATGTGCGTTTATTTGAAAAATTATATCATATGCTATCTATCGATGTGCGTTTGTGGTCCAACGGTTAGGATAATTGCCTTCCAAGCAATAGACCGGGGTTCGACTCCCGGCGCATTACAAATAGTCTACTTATAATACTAATTTCTATATTATGATTCTCATATTGTTAATTTTTGCATAACTCATTTTTGAATAAAACAATTTAAGAGTTTAAGTTTCACGTATTGATTGTGTAAATTTAGTTGATGTCAAATGATTTGGTGCTTGTACGACTGTCTTTTGATAGGTTTAGAGGTAAATTTAGTAGGTGTTTGGTACAAAAAAAAATGTTTTCCAGGAAATTAAGTTATTTTTTTTTAAAAGTTCGGTATGTATATCTAAATACTATTTTCAAAATATTTGTATACAATTGAGATAAATTAAATATTATGGGAAGTGGAGTTGGGGGGGGGGGGGGGGTAGGGTGTGGAGTGGTGGGGATGGGGCTATGAGGGAGGAGATCATCTATATTGAATGTTGGCTGACAACCTCTCTTCTTATAGGATTCATAGAGTTTACCTTTAAGGTTGGATTCTACAGATTTAATCGGCGGAAAGAAGCACTGACCTAAGGAGAAAGTCTTTGCAACTGAAGTGAGCCGAGGTCCTACTTTTGATTTATTTTGTTACTAAAAAAATGAAAAAGAAGAAAGAAAATGGCATGGGTTTGGGAGCCAAGCTGAAGCCTTCACCGCAACTTCAACTGCAAAAAAAATAATTAGAGAAACTTTTTTTCTATACTTCTCATAGATAGGAAAATCATTTTCGTCATTTTTAAGAAACACATTTCCAAAAAAAAATAAAAAAATTTACAAAAGTTTGACCAATTGAACTTTTCCTTTCATATCAAACACACTCTTAATTGACCAATATATTCTTACTTTAATTTGTTGTTTCTTAATAAAAAAATGTGAATTGTGAAGCTACACAAATAATATTCCTAAGTTTTATAGATCATATTTCATGTTTTATTTTAGGAAATATTTTTTCCTTCAAAATATTCATTCATTTGACAAAATCAAGAGGTGCCAAATACTGATCCTCTTAACAATTTCAGAAAAGGAAAATAATTAAATATTGGCTTTCTTGAGAGCACTAATTAATCCCTTTCTTAGTTGTTCACACTATTACTTCTCAATGACCATTAATCAAATCTCTATAATTAATTAATTAATAATTCTGATGTTTTTCCTTTTTATTTTTGTTGGACATAAAGTTCCCTAGAAATCTAAATCATTATTATAATTTTTATATATAGATAAATAAATAAAAGAAGTAGTGAACATATTCAAACCAAATTTTCTTTACCAATGGAAAATCTCCTCCATATTCACCTTTTGATATCAACAATTTTCTCAATTTTGTTTGCAATTTCTTGCAATGAAAAATATATTTCACCCCTTAACTCCACTTATATTAAGCAAGCTAAAGAAAGATTTATGTCTCTTGATCCAACTAAGCTTCTGGATCCTCCAATGTCATCCTATACTTTTGCCATCTACCATCGTGATATATTTGAAAAATCAAACTTCAAGGACTATGACTCATTGTTTGAAAGTAGACTTGCTCGATCTCATGCTAGAGCAAGTTATTTAGAGTCCGGAGCCAAAAGGGCAAAAAAAATTGCCAAAAATTCCAAAAGGGCACATCATATTTTTTTAAAACCAAAATGGCAAAATCGCTCCTGCCGAAGCGATTTTCCTCTGACACATATTAACGCCATGTACTCCATTTTTGTCCAATTTTTTTTTCCACTAAAATCGCTGGCACAACAGCGATTTTTTAACTCTAATTTTTTTCCTCCACCTAATATCGCTGCTATGGCAGCGTTTTCATAGAAAAAAAAATTTGGCAGCTTTTTTGTAAAAACTTTTTTTTGGAAAATCGATGCCCTAGCAGCGTTTTCCTTAATTTTTTTTTTCGAAAATCTTATCTTAATTTTTTTTTAAAGTTTTATGAAAGAACAATATTTAAAAAAAAAATTGCTGACAGGGAGCCTAATTCCATCCAAAAATTTGAATTCGACGTAGAAATCATCAAAATAAGGCACGAACTTTAATCGGAGTCGAATTAGGCTGCCTTTTCAATGATTTTTGTTAAAAAAATTATTTTTTAATAAAAACACTGCCTTGTTTTCAAAACGAATAACGATTTTAAAAAAAAATAAAAAATAAAGAGAAACGAATTTAAAAAAAAGAAAAAAATTTAACTAAAAAGTTGTCAAGGCAGCAATTTTCAGCCATTTGACAACTTTTTTATAAAAATAAATAAATATATATATCTTGAGCGATTTCGGTGGAACTAGATTTTTTTTAAAAAAATTTCGCTACCTTGGCAACGATTTTTGTAGAAATATTCTTTTATTTTATTTTATTTTTTGAAATTTCTGTCAACTAATCAACATCTGATGGTAAATTTCTTTTATTTTTTTTTAAATCGCTGCCCATGCAGCGTTTTTGCAATTTTGTTTTAAAAAAAAAAATCGCTGCCCTTGCAGCGTTTTTGTGATTTTCTTAAAAAAAAATAACAATTGCTGGTATGGCAACATTTTTATAAAAATAAACTTATTTTATTTTTCTGGCAGCGATTTTCGTTAATGTTTTTTTTTTAAACGTTATTATAAATTTTGTGGAAATTTTATTTTTTCTAGAAATCGCTGCCAGCGATTTTGGTGGAAACTTTTTTAAAAAATATTATAGCGATTTTGATGGAATTTTTTTTATAAATATCGCTGCCAATTATATTTTTTTTAATTCGTATTAAATTTATTTTTTGTCACTAATTAACTGCGAAATTTCCTTACAAATTTCTTATTTTTTAATTGTTCAAACATTCACATGTCATATTTTTAAAAAAAATCCAAATCAGATGCTTGCCTAAAAAATAGAAAAAGTTCACGTGTTTCATTTAAAATTTTCTTATAAATTGGTTGAAGTCTCCCTTCAAACTTCAAGTATAATTTTTCAACTCTCCTTTCAAACTTTTTCAAAAGTCTTCCTCCATAAGGTAAGTTTGGACTTATTTTATTTTTAATTAATTAATTTTTAACTTTTATATAGTATTGTGAATATATTCATCTTTAAATAATTATATTAACACTAACACTTATTTTTATATTTTGTATATAAATATGCATCCATCAAATATGTACGTATATCTTGGTCCAATAGAGTATGATGTATTAAAAATTCAAGTTCATTATCGTTTCGAAGGAATTTGGAATGGTAGCTTAAGGGAATAGAATTCTTGCTTATATATGCGTTGCGGTGATGTTGAATTTTGGCAACATATAAAATATCATCCTTTACATCCTCGCATTCGTCGGTATTTTAAAAATTGTAGATTTAAAGGAATTCTTGTTGTAGGATGTGTGCCGTATGAGAACGGATTAATTTCTGCTTTAATTGAAAGGTGGCGTCCAGAAACGCATACCTTTCACATACAAACTGGTGAGGCTACCATAACTTTACAAGATGTAGAAATTTTGTTCGGAATGGTAATAGATGGTAGTCCTATAATTTTAAATGGCGCTGATACTTTAGGAGTTTTTGGTAGACAAGAAATGATGTTTGAATAAACGGGATGGTCACCCGATTATGATTATTTTTCTGGTGTGAGTAGATTGTTAACATATAAATTAATTGAGCATATTGAAGGTTTAGATGATATTACTGATCATTCAACTGAGCGTGAGGTGCAACAAAGGTTTAGATTATATTTATTATCGTTATGTGGTGGATCAATATTTCCAGATAAATCTAATATTAAGCTTAATTTAGACCTTTTGATTGATATGAAAAATTTAAATGTAATGTCAACACAAGCATGGGGAGCAGCCGCATTATCATATTTGTATAATTGTTTATGTCGTGCATCAATGAAACAATCAAATGAAGTTTGTGGATTTCTCTCTTTAGTGCAGGTATACATTTTTTTTAATTATTTTTTATATACTAGTAATATGCACTTTTAATTTTAATTGTATTCTAAGAAATGTTGAATTTTATTTATTGTAGATTTGGGCATGGGAACATATTATTCCCCTGCAACCATTATCGAAATCTCTAAGGACCAATCAACTCGAGGTTTTAACTGCGCTTGCACGTAAATAGACGCAACGTAGAAATCATCAAAATGAGGCACGAACTGTAATCGGTGTGATTAGGGATGTACTAGATAATCTAACTGATGATCAGGTATTTAAATATTATTAGTATTTTTAACTATTCATATTTGTATCCCATTTTATTTAAATTTTTAACTATTCACATTTATATCTCACTATCCAAGAAAATCATGTGAATATAATGACATATACGTAGATTTTTGGTAGGTCCTCAAAATAAGATATTATATGACATAATAGTACAAAAAAAATATTTCATAAGATTGTTTTAGTTAGTGTACATATTTGTTTTTATTTTTTTGTCAAAAAAATTTAATAATTATCTTACTTACATTTTTTTTATAGTTTATTTGGCAACCTTATTCAGAAGATGTTATTAATGGATTGCCTGAGTGGTGTTGGTCAGGACAATCTGTCTGGATGGCACATGTGCCACTTAATGTGCCACTTATTTATGGAATTTATCGTGAGTGGCACATGATTGATCGTGTTGTGAGACAGTTTGGTTATTTACAACATATTCCTGGACCGTGTACCCAGTTTTCCGAACATCATTTTAAGCGTGATAAACGATCCAAAATAAAACAAGAGGATATAGATGCGTTTAACTACACACAATATTTATGGGAACAACATCAAAATCGTATATTTCGACCTCCATTTGTAAGTGATCAAGCAGATTACTTTCGTTGGTACATGAGGCATTCCTGCATATTCATTGGAAATTCACAATATGTTGTACAGAAAGGGTATCAACACATGGCAGAAAGACATGAGGCATTAGTATGTATATTATGTAAATTTTAAATTATTATATTGATCTTTAACAATTTTTTTGTTATTAATATTTTTTTATTCATTATAGGCTAGGGGTCATGAAATGCAGTATCGTCGAGCTCGGATGATTGAAAATGATGAAAATCAATCTAATGAAATGGGACAATATGCGGAGGAAGTCGCTCGTATTTCAATGGAGTCAATGAATGCGGCCTTCCAGGGAACGCAATTGAGCTTTTCTCCTAATTACAATTCTCCTACTCAATACGATGAACCACTACCAGTACAAGTATCTTGCCGATCGCGACAAACAACACCTAGAGATAGTGCACGTCGAGGTAGAAGGAGCGCTGGTGAAGGTCGTGGTCGAAATCGTGCGGAGCATCATTTGATTGATGGAGATAATTTGGTTGATAATAACACACATTTGGTGGTTACTCCCGAGCCTTATTATCCCACGCTTGATTTTTCTGCAGGCCCCTCTAACACTAATACTAATTTTTCAAGTCAAGAAAAAGTTGGTTTTGTAACTCCACATGTTTCGATATCTGGTTTTGCGCAATTCAACGGATCTCAATATGGTATTCAGCATGGTATGCGTGAATTTCCTATACATAATTCTCCATTTGGTGGGAGGTTGAATTTTTCAAATGTAAGGTTGAATTTTTCATAGAAATTTTATAATTTTTTCTTAATTTTTTGTGCATATTTATTTTATTATATTGTATTGTATTATATTAGAGGTAACCGTGTCCCATGATCCAAGGTTTAATGCTGAAGTTTCACAACATTCAATTTTTGATAGAGAAAATCCACCTCGAAGAACATCTAGGCTACACAAATCAACTAGATGTGGAACATGTAGTCACTATCAAAATGAGAGAGATTCTGAAAATGAAGACATAGAAGATTCGGAAAACTCAGAAGAATAATTTTTATGTATTTTTATTTGAAAGGCTAAAGATTTTTATGCAGTAAATTAGATTTTTATGTGTGTTGAAATTTGTTGTTTCATGTAAATTTAAACAAAGAGTTTGAAATTTATTGTCATCGCAGTGAGATTCTCCTCTTTATTTTCAACATTTGCAGGTTTCTTTTCCTTTAAGTTATGTCAAATCAATACCTTTTATGTTAGGTCAAATCAATACTTTTTAAATTAGGTCAAATCAATTATATAATTATAATATAAATGTCGTTACTTACAAAATATTAAATTATATTTTTACTTTTTAATTTACTTGAAAGATTAATTTAATCAATATATTAAAATGCAACAAGATAGATTAAATTCATGTACACAAGTATTTAAAAACGATATATTATAATATTAATAACAAGACAAAAAAATTACATTCATCTTTAAAATATAGACAATATATTTAAAATCGAGTAGGACATCGTGCCTTTGTGTGACCTGTTTCCTTACAAACACTGCATTTTCTGGCCATGCGAGTCGGAGCTATATCCATATCATTCTTAAGTCGGCTTCTTATTTGCATACCACATGTTCGCAAATATTCAGTATTTGCAATTAAATTAAAAAGAGTTGGCGGCCAATACATTTCATCACCCACTGGGGTAAATGTCTCAGTGTATGTTTGTTTGTAATATTTTGTACTGTAGAATTTACTTACATATGACTTTGGCTCGATTTTGCGAAGTCCACAAAATTTAATAGCATGCGAGCAAGGCATATGATAATTTCTCTATTTTCCACAAGAACATTTCTTACCTTTTGCAGTAACCTTGTGGACATTTCCACCTTTACCATCATGAGCAAAAGTAAGAATTTCAAATACTCCATCACCAGTGTTGTACGTCATCATATTTGTGTGCCTTTGAGCTTTTTGATAATAATCATTAAATTTTTTATCTATTGTAAGAGGCCACGACATATTACTTTGAAGTAATGCGATTGCAAGGTTGTTTCTTTCGACAAAACGATCAACAAGAGTTTTGAATGTCATTCGAACCATGGCAGTCACAGGAAGCCCCCAAACTTTTTTCAATAAACCATTATATGACTCAGACACATTTGTCGTCATGGCACCCCATCTACGACCACCATCCTTATACATTGTCCATTTTTCCAAAGGAAATTCATTTAACCATTCTTATGTTGCAGGAGACAATATTTTAATTTGTTGCATCCGTTGCACAAACTTTTTCTTCTGGTGCTCTGTAGCAGCCAACCACATTAATTTCTCAAGTTCACTATTTACAAATTTTTTATTAAAATTTGCTTTTAAGTGTCGAACACAAAATCTATGGTATGTGTTGGGTGGACTCAATTAATCATAAGATTGAATACATTGCAAGATTCCTTGATGACGGTCAGAAATGAGGCCAATTCCTTGTCGTTCACAAATAACATGTGTCCATAATAACTTGAGAAACCACGACCAAGACTCAAAACTCTTCCATGCAACTAAAGCATATGCAAGTGGAAAAATATTTCCATTGACATAAATCCCAACCGCAATTAACAGTTTCATATCATACAAACCATAAAGATGTGTGCCGTCGATGGAAATGACCGGCCTACAACTTTTGAAACCATCAATGCTCTGTTTAAAAGCCCAAAAAAGAAATTTAAAGATTTGTTCACCTTGCATTGTTGTAGAATGATGCTCCCACTCAATAATAGTGCCTGGATTGAATAATTGTAGTGCAACCATGTATCGAGGTAATGGCTTAAATGAACTTTAAAATCACCATAAACCATTTGAAATGCTTTTCTCCGACCTTTTTGTGCTTTTTTATAACTAGGAGTGTAGTGATGCTTTCCTTTGATGATTTCACGGATCATCTTAATATTTATGTCTGGATTTTGCATAACAAATGGTATCAATGAAGTGGCAATCATGTTACTATTCAAATTGAAATGATCCTCCTTATAATTATATGTAAGACAAGTATGCGGTTCAATCATTTTACCTGCCTTCCATATATCTCTTGAAATCTCTCTAAAGCGAATCATCCAATTACACCCCAACTCATGACGCTTGCAAATAACTCTCCAACTTTTACTCTTGGATTGATCACAAAGAAATTCTTTTTTTATTGCAAGACTATATGCTCTTACGGCAAATTTCATTTGCTCCTTATTCATAAATAACATACCTAGTTGTATATACAAATTAAATTAATCAATAATAAATAAATAAATAACTATAAAATATTTAGTTTGCAACAATCGAACCTGATTAAATATATTTAGGATTGTTCGGATTCCAAAGTGCCGTTCGGATAGAACCATCATCTCTTGTATAGATAAAATTTTCTGCACTTTCTTCAATGTGATCTAAGTATGAAATCACTGTAGAATGATGATTAATACTTTGATCTTCAACTGGTGCATTAGGTGCATCATCCACATCATTATCATCATCATCCTTATACATTTCATCATTGTCGGTTAATTCATGCTCCAAAGGTTCATCACTATACATCTCACCCACTCGTTCATCACCCATAATATTATTATTCACAATTTGTGTACAATAATTCACTGCATCTTGAAGTTGGTCACACCTATAAAATATAATAATATAAATATATTGCATATTAAAAAAATTTAATTCTAATAAATAAGAAAACATTACATTTTTTACCTATCAGTTGGTTCCGGTTGAAAAGAATTCAAGTGCATGGAAGCATGGCTAGGCTCTCCCATATTGTAATCTGGCACACTCCAATTCAAATAATGATCATGAATATATAAGACAATTTTTATTTATGATATTGCTGCGTCAGAAGCGATATTTTTTTTTAAAAAAAAGTCAAAGGGGAATTTCGCCGCCTTGGCAGTGATTTCCTTTTTTAAAAAAAATTCTTCACTAAAAATTAGATGTTGACTAGTTGATAGAAATTTAAAAATAAATAAATCAAAATATTTTTTTTTTAAACAAATAGTTCCACCAAAAGCACTGTCAAGGCAGCGATTTCTAAATTTTTTTTTTTCCACAAAATTTATAATAATGCTGCAACAGCAACAATTTTAAAAAAATAATTAACGCCAAAAAAATAAATAAATTTGCTTTTATAATAACGCTGTAATAGCAGTGATTTTATTTATTTTTTTTAAATCGCAAAAACGCTGCACGGGCAGCGATTAAAAAAATAAAATTTAGATGATGACTTGTTGACAGAAGTTTCAAAAAATAAAATAAAATAAAAGAATATTTCTACAGAAATCGCTGCCAAGGCAGCGATTTAAAAAAAAATAAAACTAGTTCCCCAAAATCGCTGCCAAGGCAGCGATGTCAAGATATATATATATTTTTTATAAAAAAGCTGCCAAATGGCTGAAAATTGCTACCTTGGCAGCTTTTTAGTTATTTTTTTTTTAAAAATCGTTTTTCTTAATTTTTTTTTCGTTTTGCAAACAAGGCAGCGTTTTTATTAAAAAATAATTTTTTTTATCAAAAATCGCTGAAAAGGCAGCCTAATTCGACACCGATTAAAGTTTGTGCCTCATTTTGATGATTTCTACGTCGAGTCCAAATTTTTGGGTGGAATCAGACTCCCTGTCAGCAATTTTTTTTAAAAATAATTGTTCTTTCATAAAACTTAAAAAAAGAAATTAAGAATATTTTTTCAAAAATAAAATAAAATTTTAGGAAAACGCTGCCAAGGCAACGATTTTCCAAAAAAAAGTTTTTACAAAAATGCTGCTAATTTTTTTTTCTATGAAAACGCTGCCATAGCAGCGATATTAGTCGGAGGAAAAATAATTAGAGTTAAAAAATCGCTGTTGTGCCAGTGATTTTAGTGAAAAAAAATTGGACAAAAATCGGTGCCCTGACAGCGATTTTATTTTAACGGAGTGCACGACATTAATATGTGTCAGAGGAAAATCGCTCCGGCAGGAGTGATTTTGCCGATTTGATTTTAAAAAAATATGATGTGCCTTTTTGGAATTTTTGGCAATTTTTTTTGCCCTTTTGGCTCCGGACTCAAGTTATTTAGCTTCAATGTTTAAAGACGATAACAACATTAAAGAAGGTAGAAAGTCAACCTTCATTCAACAACAAGTTGCATGAGTATGTAATAAGATTCGTGAAAAGGTCCCAAAAACAACAGGTACTTACTATGCGAATGGTGAGTATGTAGCATCTTTTTTACTTGGCAGTAACGAAGTCAGAAGTTTCTTACTAATAGATAGTGGTAGTGATTTACTAATTTGGTGGCAATGTGGACCATGTGATGCAAATAAGTGTTACAAACAAAAATAACCTTTGTATTATTCTACTACATCCAAAACATTGCTTTTGAAGACCTTCAAGTTGCATGATTAGGGATCCAACTTTACATTGTGATCAAATTAGTCATGAGTGTATCTACGATTTAAATTATACTGATGGATCTAGAACAAGAGGTATTTTGGAAAATGATGTGATTAATGTTTGTTCTAGACCATCGACCCGTTAGGGTTACATTTGGATGTGCTAGAGATCAAACGGGTCAACAAAATTTTAGTGGTACGTATTCTGGAATTGTTGGCCTTGGACGTAGTGTGGGCCCACAAAAGGTGGGTGCATATTCTTTACCATCTCAATTTTGAGCGAACTTATTTTCTATGTGCCTACCAAGTTTTTATTCAAGAGAGGGGTCAACTATTAATTTTCATAAAACCATATGGCCAAGAGCAACATCAACAAAAATATTACCAAATTATAGGTTCCCTACACTTTATTATCTTGACCTTTATAAGGTCTTTATTAACGATAGAGAAGTATAAATCGGAGTACAATGTTGCTTCTAGCACTAAATCGAGTTGTTGTGCACTATCGCGGGCATTATTGCCTGGCTTTTATATGGTGGAAAAGCGATATCGCGATATTAAAAAATAATCAACTTCAAGGTGTAGGATTAACTTTTGATACTAGTGCAAATACTTTGTCCTTTGACATTGATGCATGTAATTAATCAAGAATTGAAAAATGTTACAATTTTAATTTCTTGTTCCTCATCTAATTTCAGTATTCGTATTGATATTTTATTAATTTGAATTACACCATAAATAGACCAAAATTAGCAAATATTACACTTTAAATATGAATTTCCTAAAAATCTTTTTTTCCCTCACAGTTCTCATTAAATTTAACAATCATAATTTTTTAAATATTAGAAGGAAAACAAAAGTAATCAAATTTGACCATCTTAAATGACTAGACTGCTCAATAATATATTTTAAAAACTATTTAAGACTATCAACGTAGATTGTAATGAAATGGTTGAAACACCTTCAACTTTGACCAAAATTCTCGAGTTCAAACCCGGGAATGAAAAAATCTATCAAATTTCATATAAAGTCAAATATTTTCTTTCATTTGACAAGAATAAGTAGGAGTCAAACTTTGATCCTCTTAATAATTATAGTGGATTAAAATGGAAAATAAATAAATGATATTAGCCTTATTAAGAAATGATTTAATTCCTAGTTGTTCAAAACTATGACTCATCAAAGAGAATCATATCTCTATAATCAACTTTTGGTGTTTTTTCCTTTTTTGACATAAAATTAAATATTTTCAATAAAACTAAATCAGTATATATAAATGATTGCAAAATACCTTTCCTGTACTAATTTCTATACAAAATGGAAAAATCACTCCATTTTCACCTTTTCATATCAATTTTTTTCTCAATTTTGTTTGCAGTTTGGGGCAATGAAAAATATTTTTCACCCCTAAACTCAACTTTTATTAAACAAGCTAAAGAAAGAGTTATGTCTCTTGATCCATCTAAGCTTCCGGATCCTCCAATGCCATCCTATGCTTTTACTATTTACCATTGCGATGTATTTGAAAAGTCAAAGTTCAAGAACTATGACTCGTTACTTAAAAATAGGCTTGCTCGATGTGAGGATAGAGCAAATTATATAGCTTCAATTCTTGAGGACAACAACAATGTCAAAGAAGGTCAAATGTTAAAATCCGTGAAAAGGTTCCAAAATCAACAAGTGTTTATTTTGCACATGGTGAGTATGTTGCGTCTTTTTTGCTAGGCAGTAGCGAAGTTAAGACTTTATTGCAAATAGACACTGGTAGTGATTTAGTTTGGTGGCAATGTGGACCATGTGAGGCAAATAAGTGTTACAAGCAAGTTGATCCTTTATATTTCCCTACAAATTCGAAAACATATCGAAAAATCGATTGTATCGTATATGGTTCAAGATGTTTAGATGATGTGGACAAAACTTATAAATGCAATGCTTATAATAATGAGTGTACGTACGATATTAGATTTGTAAGTGGACAAAGATCAAAGGGTTTTATGGGAGATGATGTTATTACTTTTGTTTTAGACCATCGACCCATTAGGGTTACATTTGGATGTGGCAAAGATCAAATGGGTCGAGCCAATTTTAGTGGTTACTATTCTGGAATGGTTGGTCTTGGGCGAAGAGTAAATGTCGGATCATATTCATTACCATCACAATTTGAGGCGGATTTAATGTCCATATGTCTACCTGGATTTTTTTCGGGAAAGTCATCTTCACTTAGTTTCCATACCTCCACGTGGCAAAGGACAACATCGGCAAAATTATTACAAAATTATAAATTCCCTTTATTTTATTATGTCAACCTTTATAAAGTTTTTATTAACGATAAGGAAATTCCGGTCCACCCATCATGGTGGACTTTTACAAAAGGTGGTGGTGGTGGGGTTCTCGTGGATACAGGTACATTTATTAGTCGATTTCCTCAGGATTTGTATACCGTATTCCGTTACATATTCAGAAGTGAAATAAAAGATATTCCTCTGGTTGAAAGTCCGTACAAGTCTCTAGACACATGCGTTAAAGTGGATCCAAGTGGACGAGAGTTGTACTTTCCCGTTGTGAAGTTGTACTTTGGCGATGTAAACCCTAAGAACATGTTGTTATTGGCAAAAGAACGAGTTATGATACACTTTGATGGATATTATTGTTTGGCTTTCATGGGATGGAATAGATCTCATTCAATAATAGGAACTAATCAACTTCAAGGTATAGGATTAACTTTTGATACATCAGAAAATACTTTGTCATTTGATTTAGATGCATGTAGTTGAGATTTATAAATTTCAAAATGTTACAATTTAAAGTTTGTATCTTTTATTTATTAGTGAAATCATAAAAGCTATGGCCATATATATAGATGTTGTTTTTCTTTGGTTCGAATCTTGTATATGTTACTAGAAATATGGTTCCATTGACATTCACGTGTGATTACTTATTGTTGTTTTTCTTTGGTTCGAATCTTATATATGTTATCATCTCATTATGTGTCCTTATGGTTACATTCCTAAAATTAGGGATCAACATTTGGTTTTTCGGTTGAGCTTTGTATTATTCAATTTCGATTGAAAAAAATGTTATTTGCTCCGAACTAATTAAAACAAATTTGGTTTGGGTTTTTGTCTTTTTAAATTAAATTATGTCATATAAGATAATATGAATATAATGTATTTCAAAAACTATTATAGAGAATGAGAAGCAACAATCTCAAATCACATAAATATTTGTTTCCTACTCAATTAATGATTAATACATTGGACGAGAGGGAGTTGCTCCGATGGTAAGCCCAAAGGTTGCGCCTCCCCCTGTCCCTAATTACTAGTAGAATTAAGTAAATTCTTTTTTGTCATTTCTTGATTTGTCAAAATGAACAAGTAATTAGGAACAATTAAAAATGGAAAAGTGGACAAGTAAAAAGGGATAGAGGGAGTAAAGTTCCAAAATAGCATAGATTTCCATGATAATTCATGAGACTCAATACTTTGTTTAGGAATTATTTTTATTGCAAAATTAATTATGTTTCTTTCTTTGATAATATAAAAATCAAAAGGTGTCAAATTCTGATCCTCATAGTGATTTTGGAAATGATAAAAAGGAAAATAAATAAATATTGGCTTCTAAAAGAGAATCAAATCTCTATAACTAACTTTGTTATTGCTATTTTTCCTGTTTTGGCATAATTACAAGAAATTTCAAAGATATTTTAAAATTTAAAAACATTCAAAAACTCTATCAATATGATAAAAAATAATATATATACATCTTAAACATTAGTCAAAGTCGAGATCGTTTGACTCCTATGAAAATCTACTATTGGTATTCATTATGCCTTAATAAGGAATATAATTCATTATGTCTAAAATTTAAAAACATTCAAAAACTCTATCAATATGATAAAAAAATAATATATATACATCTTAAACATTAGTCAAAGTCGAGATCGTTTGACTCCTATGAAAGTCTACTATTGGTATTCATTATGTCTTAATAAGGAATATAATTCATTTTGTAATTGGAGAGAACTAAATTTACATAATAATTTGACTACTTTTTTTTATTTGACTACTATGTTGACATAAAATTGAAAAAACTAGTATATATATACATATATATTTCAAACCAAATCAAGCAATTAGAAAAATAAATTCCATACCAATGGAGAAGTTTCACCTTTAGATTTCAATTATTTTCTCAATTTGGGTTGTAGTTTTGAGCTATGAAAAATCTTTTTCACCCCTTAACTCAAGTTACATCATGGAAGCTAGAAAAAGATTTATGTCTTTTGATACAACTAAACTTCTCGATCCTCCAAGGCCATCCTATACTTTTTCCATTTACAATCGCGATTTGTTTGAAAAGTCAAAGTTCAAGGATTATGACTCATTACTTGAACATAGGCTCGCTCGTTCACAAGCTAGAGCAAACCATTTGGCTTTGATTCTCGAGAATGGTAACGTGACAAGGCCACACGGAGCACATGAGAGTAAAAGGGACAATGGAAAGGTTCCCACAACAACAAGTATAGAATTCGCAAATGGTGAGTATGTTGCATCTTTTATTCTTGGCACTGATCAACAAACTACAAGGCACTTGTTAATAGACACTGGAAGTGATTTAACTTGGTGGCAATGTGGACCATGTAGACCAAATAAGTGTTATGAACAAAGAAATGAACCTTTATATGATTTTACTAAGTCAAAAACATATCAAAAACTCGATTGCCTTGTACAAAGTACAATTTGTTTATACGAGACCTCGATTTATGACTGTATTCCGTATGATAATACATGTATCTATGATTACAAATACGCGGATGGATCAAGAACAAGAGGTTGGATTGGAGAGGATGTGATTACTTTTGTTTTAGACCAAAATACGGTAAGGATTTTTTTTGGATGTGGCAGAGATCAAACGAATGGAACGGCTTTTACTGGTGAATATTCTGGAATTGCTGGCCTCGGACGAAGAGTACATATAGGTTCATTTTCTTTACCATCGCAATTTGAGGCGGATATAATGGCCTTATGTCTACCGGAGTTTTACTCCACAAAACCATCAAGACTAAGCTTCCACACAACGCCATATAAGAAAACAACATCAGCAAGACTATTACCAAATTTCAAATTTCCTACAATTTATTTTGTCAACCTTTATAAAGTTTTTATTAACGATAAGGTAATCCCATTGTTCCCATCATTTTCGCGGAATATTGGAAATGACATGACCGGTGGTTGCATTGTGGATACAGGAGCAACTATTACCAATTTCCCTCCAGATTTTTATTATGTATTCCGCGATACATTCAGACAGGAAGTAAAAGATATTCCTTTGTATGATGCTCCACTTGGATCATTTGACACTTGCTATATGGTGGATCCAGGTGTGGTACCAACTTTCCCAGTTGTGAAGATGTACTTCGGTCACCAAAGCCCGGAGAATTTGTTGTTACTAGAACAACAACGAGTCGTGGTGCATGAGAGGGGGCTATTCTGTCTGGCTTTTAAGAAATGGAGCCACCCCCTCGCGATTATAGGAAGTTATCAACTTCAAGGTATAGGATTAACTTTTGATACTGCAACAGATACTTTGTCTTTTGAATTAGATGCATGTAACTAGTTACTAGTTTGTTTTCATCTTTATTTGATTATTATTGTCGATTGACACCAATGTTGCTATTATTCAAATATAAATTCTCGATTTTAGGAATTTCGTTAAGGGTTTTAGAACTTTAGTATATATCTCTAAAATGTCATTTTTGACCTATATACACAGTATTAATTTTCTATAAGCAACCTTAACGGAGGGTGTTCAAGTGACCACCCTTGGGTCAATGCAACCGTATTTCAGGGTCCCCTGTTTGGTCATAGAATCGAGCAACTGTTCAAACAGAACACGACAGTTCCATAAGCGTTCTATATGTCTTGTTGTTTGAAAGATGTAGAGAGGTTAAAGCAGAGCAATTGTGAAAACTCGCCAATTGGTTCCATGCCAGGAAGACTAATGCCTAAAAGTTTGTTCTCATCAAGACACCAGCAATGAACTGTTATAAGTTTGAAATACGAAACCATTTGTCTAATTGTGATGAAGAAGCCAATATATTATAATGTCAGTTAGCAAAAAGGGTAAATATGCACCATTTATTAAATGAGGGGTATTTATGCATCACTTTTTTAATGAGGGTATATTCGCTCTAAATCACAAAGTTAATGGGCATATTTTGTTAGAGTGGGTTAAAAGTCTTACATTAGTTGGGGAATGGACTGATGATCTACTTATATGGATTTGTGCAATCGTCCCCTCATGAGTTAGCTTTTTGGGTTGAGTTAGGACTAGGTGCCGAATCCTTACATGGGCTTTAGTCCACGCTCCAATTGGGCCTGAATGTGAAGGGGTTGTTACAGTGGGTTGGGTATGTTTGGTATGAAGGAAAAATATTTTTCATGGCAAATGTTTTCTTTGAAAATTAGTTGGTTTCTAACTTATTTTCTCATGTTTGTTGGTGAGTGAAAAATATTTTCTAGTGTATGATTGGTGAATGAAAAACATTTTTCAGAAAATATCTTTATTTTTTTGCCTAATTCCAAACTCGGAGTAAAAACTTATGTCCGTATTAGTGAAGCCTTGTCGGGCAAAGTTTCTTCACGACCCACTTGACGGGCCATCAAGATCTAGACGGTCCGTGAAACCTCTCGTGGGAGGCATTTCGGCAGTTTTAAGTAAGGGTCATATGGGTCTTTTCCCAATTGTTTTAACTCAAGACTATGTCGTTTTACCTTCTATCCTAAGTCCTATATAAACACTTTTACCCCCAAAATCATCCAATTCAATTCATTCTCTTAAATTTCCAAAAGTTGATCAAGTCATCCTCTCAAAAATTTCTCTCTAAGGAAGAAGAAGAAGTCTAGGGTTTCAAGATCAAGTCTCCAAATCCGCCATTAGTTGCAAGCTTTTGGCATCAAGGTATGCTAATCTTCACCTATGGAGCTCTTTCCTCCATAGGGTTCCTAAATTCTTCACTTTTGGAAAGGTAGATTCCCCAATCAAATTAGTGTTTTATTCAATTGCCATGAGTTCCTTTCAATGTTGATCCAATTGCTTGTTTTAAGTCTTCTTATGCATGAATTAAAGTAAGGGAATTGCATGTTTTAAGTTGAATTCCCCATGAACCCATGCATAACCCATGTTTTCTAGACTATGATGATATGATGTGGATTTTGAATTATGAAAGATGAAGTTTATGAAGATATTTATGCCTTTTCTTTATCAAATTGATGTAAAGGAAATTGAGCATGCTTTGACTTTGAAATCATGATGAAGAAATTGAGCATGCTTTGACTTTGAAATCATGATGAAGCTTATGAATTATTGAAAAATGTATGTTTTATTAAAGTAATGCTTACGACTCAAGTAAGTTTATAGATGAAGGTATCTATATGTTCTATGGGGCTTGGTCACATGACATGAACGACATATAGATTTGCCCACAATGTTTTTCGGGCTATTTTCCTAAATTGGGTCTTGATTAGTATGGTATCCGGATATGCCATCAATGATAATAGATCACACTTTCAAAACTATTTCCATTAGTAGTAGGGAGTTTCTAGCATGAAGTGAATGATTATGGGCTTTAAAAGCTATTATGAAAAGATCGTGGATGGTGAAAAGTTTTCTCACGCATAGTCTAAGAAGCTACTCTATGATATTTCTATCTTGGATTGGTTGATTAACTGTTCCTTTCCAAGAATGATGAGACAAACCGCGATTACCCAGGTCC